AGACTGGAGGGATATCGAAGAAAGGTGTGAAAAATAAAACATTCAACCAGTATCTGCATACGGCCCAGTAGTGTCAACTGAACAAGGCGATCCGACGGCAGGCAAGACGAAGTCATGCTTCCCCACAGTAATGCCAGCTCTCACATGGCAAAAGAGATTTTTGGCATTCACTATAATCTCCAGACCTTGTACATGTTTATTACTATCTTTACCACCACTAGGAAATACACTTTATAACACTATGTTTAGTAGTGAGGAGAATCTCAAAAACAAATTAGACGAGATCTTTAGCGCCTAGACATTTCTATCGAAAGGAAACAGATTCGTTGAGAGGTGAAAGAAGATCACAAAGAACGATAGCGAATGTATAATAAATTCATTCTTTGCTAGAATTTGATTAGAACGCCGTGTTTTTGTATGCGGCAAAAAAATATAACTTATGCATAGAGGTAGCATTTCAACAATTCAGTCTTGCAGAATTTATAACTAGGCACATGCTGCAAGATACTTGAAGCTTTATCTTTTGAAACAACTTTCTTAAAATGCGGGGCGTCATGGGCGCCAAAATGTGTTGGTTCCGCTTTACGCGCGCAGATCTTGATTCAAAAATCTCCGTTAAAGAAATTAGGGATTTAATTAACAATTGACGGTAACATCCGTTTATAGTGCAATGAAAATTATTTTCACAATGACTGTTACTATTCAGCGCAGTATACGACACATTTATTTTATGATTTACTGAGTAGCGGTAAGCTTTTAGGTGCCTTAAACATCGTATACTATTAAGTGCAGGTAAGAAGATAATTTGGTGTTTTACTGGGTTCGTTGCCTATTAGAAAGGAGATCTTTCTAATAGGACATTTTCTAGATTGTTATTATAATGCCTTCGCAGACTAAACTTATATAATCCTGAACTGCTTTTTTTAAATTAAAAAGTACGCTGATTTCATTTTCAGGTACTTAACTAGGGCCGCTTTACTCTAGTTAATACGGCAAGTCTTGACAAGTGTTCATTTTTTTTAAAAAGATAGCAAAAAGTGTATGGTTATCAGAATTGATAGCCTCGAGTCTTGCTTTTAGCGCAGGTAGTAAATACAAGCGCTAGCACAACTAGGATTACAGAGGAGATAAGCCACCTACCTTACTAGATTACAACTATCCTGATATAATATCTTGAAACCATTGAAAATGAAACTGTTGCTTATTTCTTTGATACCCATAGCATAATTCCGATTCTACTTTAATGGGATAATATTTATTGTGACAAATAAAATAAATTCTGTTGTGTCATTTTAATTAAGTAAGTTTAGTCTATGTATCTTAACCCGGTGCTAACAACCATTGAGCAGAATACAAACGTCATGCTTTATTTGGAGTACGCTTATTATTATTATTATTATATTTACAACATGGAATAGACCGTTGTACGGAGCCCGCAGTCAGGACTGAATCAGCCACCTTCTAGCCGCATTGCGATTAGGCATTGTCTACTTACGACAGAAATAAGTAAATGGAACGTTGCATAGGATATCACAGACAGTTTCGTTCCTTGCGGTTCAATATTTTAAGTCAATATTGCTTTTGTTTATGAATCCAAAGGGTTATCGGCGGACATTTTTCTAATGAATCGGCTCCATTAGACCCGCTCTTAAAACCACTGATAGCGATGATCAACGACGGAAATTAACACAGGTGATAGTTTAGAATCGGCTATATTATATTTAGTTTTGTTTGAAATTATAAAAATTACAAGATTTGCTAAAGAAAATGTTGCCGTAAAACAGTTATAGAATGTTAAGACAATTAATCGCATAAGACTTTTATTGTATCATACATGCTGTGAATGTAAATAGTTGACAAGTAAGTACTAAGTGTCCAAACTTTTATAGCAGACTGATATCAAGGGGAGGTAGACAAGTCAAATGCACAGTCGAATCATCGTTTATTCTCAGTTAGTAGATTCACAGAAAACTTGTTTTCTTAGGTGTTACATTTATCCACTCGCATATGACAAACGTTTGTTTAGCTAAAAATTGAGACAATTTTTTCTAAATAATCTTAATCTCTTTTCAAATAAATTTCAAAATAAGCGCGGGTGTTTCGACTGAGATCACTAAATCTCGGACTGAAAAAACCAGGAAGGAATCGCAAGTAAAGCCTTTCAATCAACACGTGTAATTCAATAAAGGAAATTTAAAGCCAAACAAATGCTGAAATATAAAAGAAGAAGAAACACTTAAACGTGTGTTTAATCATAGCACCGTAATGTAATCGAATCGTTAATAGCCTATTTGAGAGAGAATTCAAAAATAAAACAGAAGCTGTACATAAAAGTGTACACTCATTTGTCGAAACTTAATAATCGTTGCCTATCTTACGAAGGCTTCCGGTAATGATAACGGATCACGTCGCTGGATGAGTCACTGGCGACAACAGATAATTTATGGCCATGGACACTGCGCTATCCGTATTATAACCACCAGAACAGCAGCGCCGATAACGTCATTAAAAACAACAGCGATAATCACTGCAGTTGGGGTCGTTTCATGGTGGCTGTGATGGCTATGTCGGCATCGGCCCAGGCATGGGATCGCTCCGATGATGATAATGACAGACCATGACGATAATTTCTTTTATCTGGTGCTACTACTGCTGCCGCTAAATACCAGGAGCGAGAGGTAATTGTTGTGATTGTGATACAGCCACTATCAGAATTTGCACCAGAACTCAATCGTTCGACGATGGCTGTCGCTTCTATTCGTCCTCCTAGACACCGTTGTTATTAATAATTTTATTAGTATTATTATCACGGTGTTGCGCTTAAATGGCACATATCTCCCACGAGCATCTCTCTCTGCATTCAGCGCCGCTACTCTAAAGACCGATTGGGTGATGGAGGTTATCACAGAAATTTGTGGTACCGCTAAAAAGGGCCATCGCAAGGTTCCTTGTAGTAGACCTCCGCTGCTTTTCTTCCGACTGCTAACATGTTTGTTCCTAATGATGAAACAATAAAGGGACTTTCTTTTATATAAAAGGTCATATGCACCTAAAAGTGTTTGTAACTGAAAAACGAAGCAAAACGTAAGCGGCGTAACGTAGAACAGAAACCAATGTATTCACGTAATTTAACTGTTGATGAGAGCTCTCATTTCGGGTCGGAGAATGCCGATCCGAGACTAGACAGTAACCATCATCTTCTACGCAAAATGTACAGGCAGAAACAATGACTCAATTGTTTTGTGTAATGTCTTGACTAGATGTTTACTTCGCGTTAATCATAAAAACTAGAACTCCTGAAAAGCGTCGTCAGCCAGCTCAGCTGTAGTGTCACATTTAATACGATATTTAGTGAGCTGAATTAATTTACTTTCTTGATTCATTAATTATACGTTCGTTTCAGTATGCTGCTACACTAACTATATTCTTTAATATACTATGGTCAAACTCACCTAATATCTCTTACATTTTGAATTAATACACTACATACAAGCTAATGTGGCCCGAAGGTTATTATACCTACATTCCTTAATTAGACGTGAAAATATAAGGCGGTACATTTTAGTAAAGAAAGGTATATCTATGTACACTCGCCAGGTGTTTTCTACCAGAACTTGCTTCCTTTACCATGCCTCCAATTTCTAGTCAGAAACGGCATATCATTCCGAGCAACTCTATTGATTTTTAGGTGCTGTGATTAAACGCTATAAATAAGTGTCATTTAATTGCCGATCGTTTCGTATATATTCTGAACATGGAATAATAATTTAATATGTTGAGAACTGACCGCTCGAAGCCATAGACGTCATTAGTTGTGCTTATTTTAATATAATTGTTCGACTTAGACTCGATCCATGCGCCAACCTATCCGCTTTCATCCTTGAATGAGCCTACATGGCCGGACTGGCATAATGTATCTTATTATGTTTCCGATCTAAGATCCGTAAAGGAACACATTGTCATTCATCCCTTTCCAAGGATTTCTTATAACTAAGCTAAAGTATTTCATTTGTTTCGGCAGTGTTAATATCTATAGATTGCCGGCTGCGTCACATGTAGATGTGGCCTGTAGTATATATGTCCATTGTATTTTAATCGATAGGAAAATTCTGGCTTTGCACACAAAGACTGCCCATTCGACCTACTGAATTAACGAAAAAACGAATATTCAGTAAAAATGAATCGAAATAGCAAGTAATTGTCGAGAGGAAAGTTTAGTCGCAAATAATCTAAAAAAAAAAAAAAAGAAAAAATCGGTACATGACATATATTATTACACGACTTTGATCATTATGTTTGCCTTATTCCTCGGTACAGTTTTGGACCTTTATATTTATTTTATTGCTATAATATAGCACATTGATGCGGAGTAAACCTGGCTGATGTTATTATCGTTATCATCTTAGTGGCCCTTTAACAATCGGTAAGAGCCTTTGTATTAAGCAACGCCATATATGCAAATTAGGCTTAATATGACGTAAAGGATCACTTGTATACAAGATCGAGTTTGTTGATAGAGGTTAGTAGATGTTGAGAATAGAAATAAGGCTGTAAAATGAGGGCAATACCAAATAGCACATTGCCTTTGTATTTGTTTGTTTATTGGATTGCAAACTCGAAAAACTACCCATTGGAGGCGCAGCTACAAGTCGACGCCTGCAGACATCTAAGTGAGATGTAATTTTAAAAAGATCACGTTTTCGAAATTGAGTAGTCGACAATCGACAGCCAATTACCTTGAAAGATTACGGAGAAACCGTCATCACGATAGTTGATAGTGCTGCTGTTTAAAAAGGTCATGATAGTTTGGCCCTGGTCTCCGGAAGCGCTCATTGCCGCAACATTGTAGTCCTTCATCTCTAGAAGGGGTTCGCTTGAAGCAGAGCGACCAACCAGAGAATACTAAGACATTGACATTCGCTATAATAAGAGTTCTGTCGACAACAATGTCAGTTGCGGTGCTTCCAGGATAGGTCAGCGATATCAGTAAAGGAGGTATTTCTATTTTCGGTTGCGAACTAATCATAATTAATTATTTGATAAACGACATTCTTGCTGCCAGACTAAAATATATCAATAGTCGGCGACAACTTTGTCGCTAGATGCACAGCAAATTGATAGAAGAGGGCAGATTGCCCGTGCATGTATAGCTGCAGTGCAGCAACAACTGATATCGTATTTGTCCAGGTTTCGGGCCGTATGAAAAAGTGAAGTAGATACCATCTAAGGGGTAGCCAATTACCTGGTCGCCTTGGTATGACATTGACTCAGCCCGGATTTTGCTGATTCGATAGTAAATACTCACGTAAAGACTACTGACACCAGCAGTAAGGTAGTATGTCCACATGTGATATGTGTCGTTCAGATGACCATGCCGGATCTGCTACAATAAAATTTCATGAAACATAAACTATAATATGATGTTTTTCCTTTATTCTAGATTTTAGTTATTTGTGGTAATCTAGCTGAGGCTGCTATTTTATACATTTCAGTTTTTTGACATTACCCTTTTTAGACGACTGATATTACAGATATATCATATCCGTCTGCTCAGATTTTCCGCCGACGTTCCAGCAACACATTTCTGACGTTTGCATGCTCGGTTGTGGCTACGGCTGTGGTGTCAAGAAACGTAGGAACAAAGAAATAAGGATAACAACAGCCGTTTAGCTGTAACAAAAATCGAAATGAAAACTAATGAGTAGACGTGAATGAATAGCAACACATTATCCAGTAACCGTGATGATGTCAAGCTAACGTGTTTCATTATTAAGCTTGTGGAGACGCTGGATTCTTCAGGTTCGAATCCCCACAACCCCTTCAATAGCATACTTCGTTTCGCGCTAACAGCCAGTTTACTTGAGGCATAATTCGACGTTCAACTCTGAACATTTTATGCATCACTGAACGAGACTGAAGACGGCCTAAATAACTGAATGTGGTCATCTTCCGTACATCGACCAGTACGTCTATTACGAGTCGTTATTATAAATATTCAAACATTAATGGTATAATTGCCAACCCATACGTACGTTGATGTAATTACGTTCTTAGCACCTAGCCCTTAAAAATATTATTACCATTCGTACAATGCAATGAATAACCTTTCATCTATTAAGAGTCTCAGTTCCGTGGGAAAAACACACGAGAGCAAAAACTGTAGAAATTGTATTTTTGAAACGTTCAGTATGCTTGAGGTAACGCGCTCAACATTTCCGGTAATAAGTTATATACAACAAAAAGCTTTGGCGAGACTAGTAAGCTAGAAGGGCTCCATTAGGCTGGATAACCTATGAATGAAATAATTTTCGCATTGGAGGCTAACTTAGTTCTAAATTTAAGATAAATCGTAAGCGACCACTTTTTTCTTGTTTGCTATCCAGTGCGCTGGCACGATACCTTTATGATTTTTTTATGATTCTTGCCTCAGGAATTTAAATAAAACCAACATGCGTAATAATCCTTCGCTTGTCACTCCCCTCCTTCGTATCCTTTTTGAAATACAGAAAAACTAACGCTTTAAGCTGAAGGATAGAGGCTGATAGAACTATAATTTCTTTTATAATCATGTCAAGGCAAAAACAGAGCTAAACAATTTTTAATATTATCTTACCTGTGAGTGGCTTAACACCTATATTCAGATGGCATTACTCCGAGCGGTTTGTGTCTTCTCAGGATCGGCGAGACTTCATTTACTTGAAGAAAAATTCAGTGTAACTGAAGGTAATCGAGTAGCCAGAACAGGGAGCTGTATTTTGTGTGACAAATTGCTCTTAGTTCACCGAGCTATTCTTGTAAAATCAAACGGTACATACGCATATAACCGCTCTTGAGATTTCAGAAAGATATAATTTTGTTATAATATTATGAAGTGTAAGATTCAGCCAAGCAAACGTGACGCTAATTTTTAACCTGATCTACAAGATACCGCTCAAACGAGTTTCGTGTATTACTGCTTTATATTCATACGAGCCGCCTTCGAATTATCTAAATGTTTAGGGCAAATAGTTCAGTCGAAACGGTTCTTTGAAGAGCACGATTCTGGACAGAGAAATCACACAGCTTTTTAAGCTGTCTTCTCTTGTTTCTTTTATTGTTGGAAGGTTCATCCGGTACAATCGAATAACAGCAGTCATTTATGTTTCAACATTTAGGCTGCAGCAAGAACAAGTTTACAAGTCTTGAAGCCGAATTTACCACCGTGCGGTTAACCTTCGAAACCTAGGTCAAAGGTAGGCAAAGGCCAGTTCCATCTGTAAGCTTCAAGACGCGTTGGAGAATAGATTCAACAAAATATGTCTTGCTCGGCACAGTTCGAGAAGTGCGATAAAACAAGTTAAAGTGCTTTCTACGCCTTCAAAAAAATCTATGTATCAAATTATTGCTCTTTCAAAAGGAGGGGCTAAATGGGAAGACCTAGATTATGTCAGCATTACCTTACATCAAGGTAATTTGATTACTGGAAAAACGAGGCTGTAACTTAAGCCCAATTAAAAATTGGGCTGGAAGCGTAGACGATAATAAATATTAGGTCGATAATGCGCGTCTTTAAAAAGATACGCCTCATACAGGCTGGATAGAGGCGGTGTAATTATAGATCAAGCAGGTAAATCATAACGGTTTGTTTTACCTCTCAGACAACCCGGTGAGAAGGTACATGTATTCCAAAGCGCATATAAAGCCAGCGTTGAGCCAAACTAATGTGGACTGTCCTCTTTCTTTTACGATGTAGTATTGTTTATGCCATTGTTGTTTTTCGTTGGCTAAATAAACAACAAGCCATTTTAAGCAGGCTAAGCTGTTTTAAATATTAATTCTAGTAAAAAAAAATGTTGTAATAATTAGAATATGTTCATTTAATATTTATTGACTTATAAGCTATTAGGTTTCTGTCCGTGACTAGTTTTACACGGGGCTAGGGTCCTCGACTGAGTTTTATAGACGTCCGCAGAACTTCTCTCTCTGCACTTAATTTCTCTTTGTTTATGTAAATCTCCCCCCGCCCCTCCACATATATAATTGTACGAGCCGAGGCGAGTGAATGGTTTGTAGATGCCGCATACTGAGCATATTTTTTTTATTTGATTTAGTATTCCTTTTAGAAGCTGATAATGACTTATAGGTTGCTCTAAACAGAAATATACTGATGACGGGTAATGAAAATGTACTGATTATGACTAATGATGTGTAACTAATGGTGAGATGTAAATGTATCAGCGAGTCTTTTTCCGTACTCCTGTTGATAATATGCTTTAATGCGCAAATGCTCGGTATTTTGATTTCGTCCATATTGAGTTTGAGATTTCTGACGCTAGGGCAACAACTAATGTTTGCTCGTTTGTTATTTCGTCATGTCATTTTTCAGCGCATCTCTTTTGCCACTTGTAATTACGGTGCAGGTGTCATAAAATGTGTACAAAATTAACGGATGTTTGAACGCCGTGAAGTTCTATATTTGACTTTTTTTGCTTAAGCTTGTCTCATTCGGGCTTTTTACCATTTGGTTTGTATTTATCAAATATGAATAGATACGGCTTTTTGCTGTGTTATCTAGGCAAAGGGAAGGCACTATGTAAATCAGACCCTTCAAATCCAAAAGTCCTAAAAGTTACAATTGCGTCCTCCAGATTTAGGCTTACCTTTCACTGGTATTAGCTTTTGGTAATAATTATATGCTGACCTAGGCACTGAATCAGTTGACTATTTAAGACTTTTCCAGCAGTTTACTAAAAACAAAGGGCACTGTTATTGGTCGAAGACCATCAAAGGTCACGTTTCTCTCTTTGTGAACGGGGGTAATTTTTTAAATATCATAGGAAAATGCACTGACCAATAGATACTTAATTGTACAGACATTATAATAGGCAAGCAAAAAGGATATAGTTTTTCTGCAATACGGCTTTGCATTCTACCATAACCTGCTGCTATAGAGTTTCTAAATTCGTCAATAAGTTTCGGTAAGTTTTAGCAAAGCGTTGCTAGAATATGCCTGACAATTTACGAAGCTGTTTTTTAGTGCAGTCTGTAGAAAAAACTCAACATCTTCCATGCCTGCACCTATATTGAGGTCCTACGTAGTATTCACAAAATTCTTTTTCATTAAGTTCAGTTTATGTTTAGTTGGTAGTTCGGTTCTCTCAAAATGGCAGTAATCCTAATTCGTGCATTTGTTCTCCATTTTAATTCATTATGTAATGCCCTGATTTTTCTTGAAGTTGTTCTTGCGCGCTAAAGGATACTTGTCGGTATACTTTCTATTGAGCATCTAATTAACTATTTCAGTTGGCTTCTGCAGTTTTTTATGCTGGGTCGTTGCAACTGAAATCAGAAATTTTTGGACATTTGATTTTTTTTATCTTAATGCCTTAGGTTAAACTAACATAGAATCAATCTTTTCCAGATTATTTTCCCGTCCTTTTATTTTTTTGTTCTGGCTCTTCCAGTATTTCGTGATAAGAGTGCTAGACGTGCTTCTGCCGCGTTACTAGCTTCATTGAGCTCGTTTCAATATGATCGGCTGTCTCTTTCGTCTTTATTCAAGCTTTGGTGTGTTATTGGTCAATCAATAACTGAACAATCGTTCCGTGGCCTGCTGTTCTTTTTCCAGTAACTTTTAGATCTTCAACGAAATTCCCTGCGTAAATAACATACTTCAATTGGTGTGCCACTCTCGCGATTTCGACCTTAGCTTGGTTTTACATACGGAATTCCTCGTCAAGCAGTAATAGCGAGCTAGCCTAATCAGGTATCCTCAGTTGTAATCACAGCCATCAATTTTTCATAACATTAAAATTTACCTTCTAATTTAAATGTTTCTTATGAAGATTTTGGTTTGGCAAACATTTTGCTGCGGTTAAAATTACGAAAATTTTATGAGTTAAACTTTTATTTTTTAACCTCCATATATATAAATAACATAAGTTATACGTTTCTGATTGATTTGACTATATAATAATTTTAATTTCAACACTGTTGTTGCTATGACTGGAGAAAAAGGCGCTAGGTATATAATGCATCAAAATATGTAGAATCAGATTGTGTTGATTACCGTAAGCAACATCACAAACATATAACAGTCTATTCACCTGCTTGTCTTTATACTAATATCGTCTAACGTATTGCCACAGAACGGGTCATAAATTACACAATGGAAGCTCACCTATTTAGAGCTTGTTGAAGTCTAGATGGCTTGGATATTCAAGCACTCCAATAAAAGGAAATTAATTTTTTATAGTATATAACTGTCTTATTGTTTCATATGATACACATATCTATAACCGTTCAGACGTTACGGCTGCATGCGCAACCTCCCAAAAAGAAAATACAGAAAACGTACCGTTCTAAAAATGTTAGCTTCCTCTTTTCTGTGAAGCAGTAAATAAGTGTAGGAAAGCGCATATGAACCAATCATGCGACATTGCTTGTTTATAGACTGCATAGTCTTACGATTACGATTCAGCCCGTAAACACGAACCTTAGAGGTTCAAACAGGTGTAGTTTAATTATTATTATTTTTTTTTATCTATACCCAATTAAACCGTGGTATCGGTTTTCGCAACGGCTTAACATGTGTTGGTCGTTTAGCTGAGAAAAGTTCTGGAAGAACTAAGGAGGACGAAGGCCGCGTGCGCCCATTGAAATCGCGCGCGCGAGATGTCTGTCTGATCTGGCTGTCCGTAACGTCCCTGTGAATGTGAACTATGTGTACGGCATAAAGTGGCGTGTGACGGCACAAAGTAAAGTGGGTAAAGTCTTCCTCAAATGTTGAGTGAGAAGGAAGCTACATATCTAATGCAATGACAAATATTTCAGCACACCGGCTTTACTATCGCTCATTGGGCCACGACCGCAGTGCCTCGTTGAAAACAGTGTTCATAATGAAAGGGCGCGTTCCTACAGGTTTTTCGATAGAAACCATGAGTGTGTGTTGTGTGATCTCATGGATAATGCTAAGTGTACTAGTATTTGCTCCAGGATGCTCTGCGAGTTTAGACGAGGGACGTGCTCTGCTTAAAGATATCGCTTCTTTCCTTTTTCGAAAAATATTGCCGATTGCACAGGACGTCTTCATTGAAAGTGACATCTCTAGTGAGTGCTCTGGGTCTCTTCTTAAGTTTATGTCGGCTATACGAAGAAGCGAACCATGGGCTTTAAAAAGTGAGTATTTAGGATGTTAGCTGTTACCGATTTGTAACTATACTGAGAACCTATGATGGCGTCTATGAAGTCCGCTTTATAGGTGATAGGCCTGCCACGAAGATGAGGCTAAAAGCGAGAACATGCAATTGTTCTAACAACTGACAGTCATTGTTTGTGACAGAGGCAAAGGGACACCCGCATTTAATAGCGAAACATCAGTTTGGAATACAACAAAAAAGCGTCTCTTATTTTCTAATTACCCCTTAAGATAATTATTAACCATGTAGGGGTTTAATAGAACAAATTACACTCACGGGCTATTCTAGCGCTACATCAAATACTCATGCGATCTAACGAACACCTTTGATTATAGCCTCTTTCCTTCACATAGAAATACACGTATCATCTAAGGACAAAAGCGACACGCTTCAACGATTGAAACGTATACTACGTGTATTCGTACCGTAATTTTTATTTATGCATTTGGATCCACTGTAATAAAATGCCATATATAAGCATTTATGAGCAGTGTTCATATAAATATCCGTATGACATAAGAGTGAACGATACGGCTGAAATAACTCTTTAAAACCGTTTCATAATTCAAATTCTCAAATAAATATTTCTTTAGTAGAAATTAATCAAAGCCTATAGAAAATAATTGAACCCTTACCCGATAGATATATATATATATATTTCAACGCGGAAACCCATTTTCCAGAAACGTGTGTGAGCTGCATAGTTAGATACTATATAATATAATGCATGCAATATGACGAATATTCATTCACCACCTGTGTGATGTGGCTGCGCTTAAATGCGGAACTTATCATTACGTCACAATACGTCTCGGAAGCGTCTTACGTAAACGGCACAGCATCTTCGCTGCTGCCAGAAATGTTGAAGAGATCACTGTTTAGGGTCTGTATAAGTAAGATGTAGGCTGTAGCTGTGGATATACGATTGTTTCTAAACAATGTAGCATATACACATTTTAGAGATGTTTCTTTTGCTACACCATAACATAACAATAGGATGTTTCCTAATTGCACAATCATTGATTTATTGTGTTTACTATTGTAAAACATGGCTCTCGAAGCTTTCATTCTGAATGAACTTGACATCGTCCCCGCCCGGTCACTGGTACTAGACAACTTTTGTCAACTGCTAATGTTGACAGATTGGCTGCGGCGTTTCCTAAAGTGAGCTTTGTTGCCGTCACCACGACGGACAGCAATATAACTCCAATTATACTGTCCGTCTCGGGGGTTCTTGATAAATCAAGTAAAAAGTCATCTATATGCTATGTTGTTTACGGCGATAACACATGCAAAACGTTTCGGTATCTTTTATACCGTCGTAAATTATTTTTGGATAGATTTGCGCGTGTTTCTATGAAAGTGCTTAATAGGGACGTTTAAAAGAGAGCGTTGGGCTGTCTAGGCTGCAACAGGATCTAAGGATCCGGGGCTTTTTTGAAAACCAAACGCAAATTCAAAGGAGGATTGATAAAACCAACATCAACATGACCACTTAATTATCTCCCTTCGTTATTATTAATTATTTGGCCGAAATATAATCATCTATCATAATAATGCGCTCGAACTGAATATTGGGATTGCCCGAGCGAACGAATAACCGTAGGCGATTTGTCTAGACTCAACAAAAGCTATTCAACTTTACCATTGTATATAACGAACTATCACTTCACAAATATCCACTCTTCTTCGTCTTTTTGTTGAGCAAATGTGCCATCTTTCAATATAATAATTGAAAAAATAGTCAGTAATAATTATGTTATTACTGACATTAATTGTATGACATTACTTGTAAATAGCGAGCGCTATTTGATTCTCTGGACGTGCATAGCAAAGATCCAAGCTTACTTTCACACTGAAACACCAGCGAATGAGCCCGATACGTGGATCGTCCAGCGAACGGCTGTTCTGACGATGGCTTTGTATCAGTAACGATCACTCGACAAGAACAATAGGCCTTCACTTTTGACATTAACTCAATTAAGTAGCCCGATACTGCGTAGGGACATAGCGTCGATCGGAGATATAATTCGTTTAATTTGTTTGTCAACACCGAAACGTCTCGGCGGGTCAGTACAAAGAAGTAAATGGTTCACAATATCGTAACGAATAGTACTTTCACACACAAAGCCGCTTGGCTTGATCCTGAATGTGTTTCAACTGAGTTTCTCCACCTTTTGCACTCGTTACATCATTAAATTAGAATTGAAGCACGGTCTAGCTTGGCCGCAGACGTGTTTTTATTCATAGAATAATGCTTGCTCATATATATATATATATATATACACACACACCTTTCTAAAGTGGGACAATGTTTTCCGTAACAGGCACGCGTTCATCTGCTACCTACGGTGCCGGATGTAATCCGGTCCTCTCTATAACAAAACAACATACTTCTCGTGGCGAACAAGTACGTCGGTTTCAACATTTGAGGGAGAATCGGCTATTTTACAATCCCTAGTTGATGGACGAAACTCCACCAATCTTATAAGCCTTTTGTGCTATCCCAAATGAATAGTGCCAATATGGCTGCGGCCAGAACATAAGCAGGTTTCAACATATCCACAACGGAGAATATCCGCGACAGAGAAAGAACTATAAAGTCAGTCGTTGCCGTTCAAAGGTGCATTTTTAATCATCCTTCCGTTTCAAGCTGTTAGTGAAGGAACTTGGTGCAAGTGAACGTACGATGCCATGGAAAACTGCACCGGCTCGAATCAGCCGATTAATGCAGAAATACCACCATATTCTGGGGGCACCGAACAGCCCAGATTCGAATTTATTGGTTTATTATGTCCGAGCTATGCATATTATGTATGGGCGGGAGTCCAACAATTTCTATCTCATCTGTGCTATCAGAGCAAGAATTAACGCTGTCTGTAATCGCGATGAATGGTAGTTGTATTGAATAAACATGGCCGTCGAGAATGGCACTTTTAGCATATATGAAAAAGTTCGTTGAATAATCCGTCTAGATACGTGCTTAGAAAAAAGCCGTACGCTGCGTGTACGTTATTTGTTATTACAGAGTGCCCCAAAACATTAATATAACACCTTATATTTGTATGCCATTAATATTTAAATTGCGAAACAATTCACGTGAAATACATTATCTTGATCACTGTCGCGGATGGTCAGACTTATCACCGTTCTAGTCAATGTGCTACAGATAACAGCAACTCAAATGTTATCAGGAATCAGGAGTCTGGATGCGCTATGGACTGCGTGAGGCGCACTAAAATATCTAACCTTACATTGGTTTTTAATATGTCGTCTAGCACCGTGAAACGCGCAGCCATAATAGTAAATTTCTATACACGATTGTTAGAAATGATGTTTTCCTAATGGGCAGAAGGTCTTAAATAACAAGCGGATCAAGCAGTTCGTAGCTCCGGCAGATATATCTAAGTCTAGAGATAAGCTAAATATTTATTTCAGAAAGACTGTGATTTGCGTTTTATGACACTAGAAGGATCCTAGTGGCAAATGCTCGAAAAGAAAAATGTGGCCAATAACGATTTGTGTTTTATCGACTGAACAAGGCTATTCACCAGAGAAGATTCGATAGATAACGTAAAATCATCCTTCTCCATAAAGATGGCAGGCTACACATAGTAAAAGGTCGTTGAAGTCGCCCTGTAAATGTTGGAGGTTTTTCTGCATGCATCATAGACCTCACGGCAACAGATTACCACCCCTGCCAACCAGTAGTAAAGAGAATTTATAACAGAATGTTCGACAATGAAGAGGCTCTCAAAAACTAACTAGACAAGTTCTTCAACAATAGACCTAAAAGTTCCTAGTGAAAAAGAATTGAGTAACTGATTGAGATATAGGGAAAAGTCGTAAAGAATGACTGCGACTTAACTATAAATTGGCTTGTTTTTGGAATCGGTGTTTTTGTTAAGTAAGAAGGCTCTTACTCATGTTACAATCTAAGACCTTGACATTCAACCCGGTTCTGAACCTGTCACACACGACAAACCTTTCAGCATTATTACCATAAAATGATATGTCAAAGATATTTGTTAGATAGATCGATGACTTTGAAATATGTACAACACAAAAATGTCTAACTGAGGGCCTATTTCCTTTGCTGCTAACACCAAGATCATTCAGTTAGCATGACTAAGCCCGAAGATCGTAGAAATAATTGTAAGGCCCACGAAGCTTTAGGATTGATTCGTTCAAATTCTGCATCAATGAGATAAGTGCATTTTTACGACAATTCGTGCGAACAGTGACTGTCTTAATTGGAGGTTCTATTATTACCAGAGGATATGCATAAGCGTTGCTGTAGCATAAAGCATAAACGTTAGAGTTTTCCGGTCAAAGTGCCTCGGACATCAGAGGACTTATCAAAGGTGCCACAGGTACAAAGAAAGCAATGGATACTGTGCTTCTATCCTGAGCTTCGATTGAATTCTACTCAGCTGCATGAACGAGATGCCTTCAGACCTGTTGTTTAAAGCGTATCAGCAGTAGGTAAAGACAAAAAGAAACTTAAACGCGACTGTACAAGGAGTAAGCTTCAAGTGTACCTCAACCTGAACATCATATCAACGCGTTCTCTTTTGGTTACAGTGTTGACAGCAGCCGGTCTGGTGCCCAGTGGCATCATGTACCTGACAATGACGTCGTTGGGAAGCTACGGCCAGTGTCTTTCAACGCGGGCATACGAGGAAAACGATAACACGTCGTCACCCCTACTATTTATGGGCCAGTACTGCGGACTAAACGTGATGCCTAGTAGGGAAGCGTACGATACTCTTCTTGAGTACGTCGACAAGCTCGGTGACATTCAAGTGAGTCTGAATGCTGATACTCTAAAAATCGATAAACAAAGGTTAAAGAAAGATAAGTGCTTAACTTATGTAGGTTTGGCAATTCTGGTTCAAGTTAGGGTGACAGTTCTGTTTTTAACAGATCCTGAATCTATCCAAAGTGGCTTTCATGTTTGTATTAGACAACCTTGAAGACTTGCCGTATGATACATGAATTATATGAAATCGTAAAAAGCTTGTCGTTAAGTGTTTTAGCATGTTATTAATGCCACTGATCCTGCAAACAAAATCTTTGTTCGTGGTGTACTACTATGACTGAGATTCTATGAACTGTACATAGCTGTGTGCATCGGGATTTCCAGAACCTAATAGTTATTTACTTTTCATACCGTATATTCAACGAATCTGTCAAACATAGGAAAGACTAATTCTAAACCCTTTAAATGAAATCAACAAGACTATTTTTAACGGCTGTGTAATGAAAATCAAATATCAGGAATAAAGAAGTATTAAAATAAAATAATCTTACTGTCGACAGCGAAAATCGGTGCCACCATTAATCTACGATCAGGATAGCTTGTATCGCCCAGGACTTCGGTTAGGACTTTGCGTACCCTCTCTCTGCTCGGCAGAGGAAATGAACATCATCGTAAAGAAAGGTCCACTTAATTCGTTTACCTGATATAACGTTTGAATTGCAACGCTTTTATTTCTTATCTACTTAATTGAAGTTTTACCAGTGCTTCAAGTCGCTCGGTCTTTCTGACTACCCTTCCTGACAGAAAGTCAAGAAAGTCTTAGATCTAATCAGTCTTATTGACCTACAAACATAAGAAGTTTTCCGTGCATGTAGAGTGTCGTCTACAGAAACCGCATTCTTAAAGACAAATAGGTGAAGTTAACCCATATGGTATTCTATCGATTGTCTGTGTATATCTTTACGGGCAGCGTAGGTACTTTACAGTGCTTGTTATTTAATTATTTGGATGCTAATTTTTGGGAACACAGTTGCTTCACGTTACGACCAGTTTGCTGACATTTTATCGTGCCACAACGACGAAACGGACGCTCACAAAGATCCTGTGTACTACGTCGCCATGTGAGTCGATAAGAATAATACTTTCCCTGCGGCTTATTATATTAATTACGGAAATGCTGATTCATGTAAAAATTAAGTCTACGTATTCGTATATTTTCAGAATCGTCACTTAGAGCATAAAAAACGTACGTTTTACCTTTTTCGATTGATTTCCGTTATACAATATATGCTGACACACTTTTGTAGTTCACCAAAACTCTCAGGGCGTTTTAAAAAATATTATGATCTATAATTATTAAAAATCGTGTGAATAAAGAATGTTATTATTACTATTATCGGTATTATTATAAAGGAAAAAGAGCCGATTGCCTTTAGTATTTTAAATAAAAATGATTGCAAAGTAACATTTATCTAAAGCTAGGTCGTAGGTTATTTTAGGCCATTCCAATATGAATACGAAGTCACCCGTTTCAAAGAATTTAGTTAACGTAAGGCAAAAGACCACCTTAAATCGCTCATTGACTAAATTTAACGTCAATATATCACAAAGAAGAGTATCTTTTTCAAAAAATAAATAAATATTTTTTACTATCAGCCAAATATGTGCTTAAAGCCTACGTCAGTTAAATAATGTAATAAAGTAGGTGTCCTATAAATTGCAATGATTAGCCATTTGATTCGTCTATTAAAATCAAGTTGCGTGCAATAGGAGCCTTTGGACTGCGCGGCTAAGATAAACTTGAAAACATGAAATATCAAAGATAAACTTTTTACCGTAAGCACAGTTTCCCAGCAAAGTTGATTTGGAATTGAATAATCGCAAGTTACTTCAGTGGTGGCTATTTCAAAATGTGTAGGAAAAACATTCATTGAGTTTTGCGAACTAATTGGATAATTTCTACTATTTCAGCTTTGTTCCTTGCGTTCTCACATTTATTATGATAATGTCTACTCTGCTTGACATCCGAGGACTAAACTGTAAGAAATGTTACACTTTTTACAACTTAATGGAGCAGCTTATAGTTTTTTTAACAATTTATCTGTTTATATCTATGATAATATGAACCCTTAGGATGATGTATCAATATATAAGCATCCAGAATAACCGCCAGTTAACCTTGTTATTGTTCTAAAATTTATGATGTATTATAGTTTTTGTGCTTAGAAGTTACGATGGTGCACATCAGTATCTGTTATATGGGCCTTCTATTCGGTTGGAACTTGAGTCGTGACGTAAACGTCATTTTTCTCTTTCATCTCTTCACTATTACTCTAATTCCATATACAATTCCAAAATATGCTTACCCCCATGTCTATAAAACGTATTGTAATTTTCGTTGTACAGGGAACACAATTTTACCCCGAGGTCAGGATCCAAAGGTGAATGTCCCAGGTGAAAAATAGGTGTGTTTATGATACCTAGTCAATTTTTCCTGTTTTCATGTAGGGGTGACGAAGACCATTTGAAAGCATCTTTGAGGGCAGACGGCCGGCAAACAACTTGTTGAATAACCTTAAAGATGAGTTACAGTCATTTCAACATCGGTAAGCATCTAGAACCTATGGGATTCTTTCAAAAAGTGTTTCCACGGTGATAAAAAACGGAAAAGGGGATAGGTAATTCCGGAAGATACGGCCAAACCCAAATTCGAGTCAACTCCCATTAGAGAAGCTATTATTTGCGTTTGGCCGGACTGAAAAGCTCCCATCCAGTGAGAAATGCTTGAGAAAGACAAGGCAGTTAAAAAGAGATCTGTGTGCACTCGCGCTTTGGCCTTATGATAGAACAGCGGTTTTAATGGAAGATCTTCCATCTCCAAGTACGGCGATAGCAGGGAAGCCTGACTCACAATTTGGTGCGGAGCTCCAGAAACTGTCACGGAGATGACGAACTAGCTGCAGAGTTAAGCCACTACTCTAACGGGAAAAATAACGGCGACAATTGTTTACATAAAATATTGCATGGTCGGGTGAAGCAAATGACGTCCGGAATTCCAGAAGTGCATTTGGATTGTAACCAAGCAGTGAGGCCGTTCCTAGACAAATTAAGCCCCACTACCTGCACGAAGGGTCGGGTCGCACCAATGAAACCTGAAATTATCAAGAACCTCATGAGCGGAAGAGAATTGGGCGGCAATGCTAGCTAGCGTATAATCGTAAAAGGCCCAGCTTTGGACCTACGGTTGTTCGACAGTGTGCCGAGCTGCAAAGTGGCCTGTTCCCAACACACTGCATCCCTATCCCCTGCGCAGTTTGATAATGACAGGATGACCATGAGAATCATGGGACATGGGCAGGCGTAGTCTTTCAGATCTATAGGCTTGAGGCAGGCGAAAAGTCGACCAGCTCATATTCCGGGTCATACAGGAGATTAGCGAGAACGGGAGTACTGCCTCTAGGAGAACTGAAGTGGCAATTTGCATGATTTGGGTTCCCTTCCCCGATCAAATCGAGAAACTCTAAACGAAACTTACTTCGGAAGTCGTTTCCCTAAATGAGCATACCACGACCCGATCCCTTGCTTTCTGGTGAACACAGACAAGCGGTCTCCTCAGGAAGATCACGAAACTGGTTGTTCATTCGTTATAACCTACCACACATGGTGATTGCAACCATCAAAAGTAATAGTGCGTCCCCTATCAAGTCGTCACATTCTGTAATATTTCGGAATATTGATGATATGGTCTCTTTCGCAGGGGTTCTCAGGAAACTACAACATGGCGTTGATCTGGTGTAGCAAAATTTTATACTCAGGCACGCTAAGTTCTGCGTAAAGGCGACGTTCGGATTAGCGAGAAGATATGTTGCGATGGGATTCTCGAGCTGTTGTACAAACGCTCGAGGAATAGCACGGGGTTACAGCCTTGGCCGGAATGGCCTACTACAGGCGCACCCCGATTAAAAATATAGTGGCACTGGGCTTTTAGGGACAACTTTGTATTTAGTAAACCTGTGCAGAGTTTTACTGGCCGATGTCTTCGGTGCTGCGGGGTGCAAACGACGCCATTGTCGACAAGGTCTTCTAACGGGACAAACTGCATATAAGATGGACTACTCACCCGATGAATGAGTAGGTCTTTTTTGCGCTGCCCGCGATCTTAGACGATTGGCCATAGATCGTTCGAATTTATTCTTCGAGGTGGTCACGACGAAGCATCAACGTTGTGACGGCCGTAATGCAAGGTGGAGTGGCTTTTCCGCGATAATTGTGGCGGGACGGATCATTGTGCGAACTTCACACGTTGCCTAAAGTAAAAGGAGAAGCCAAAAAACGGAAGTAGATTTCTTTGCGAGATCGCCGCTCCGGTCGGGCACCAACGAGCTCAGCTCACTGCAGGAGAATGGCCATCGCACCACGATGGCCTCGAACCCAAAAGACGAGAGAAGACAGCCAAAACGAATCTACAGCTTTTCTCCCAGTAGAGCAAAACGAGATTCGAAAAGCGCTAAACCCAATGAATAGTGATCAGCCTTCCACTTAAACTACAGCTATGATTTTTTTAATGACAAGTAAACTAAACGTCAGTCTGCAGAGCGACAACTAGTTCGTATGGAGCCTGGTCCTGGTATCTATGGTCGATCTGTTAACTGAAGAGCTGGGTCGAGAGAAAGGAGATCACTAGGAAAAAAGACAGGTATCGCATTTCTTCCAGTGCAATACTAGACCTCACATAGTAAAGGTCATCAAAGTTACTCTTCAATGACCTGTTTAAGAGATTTTTCTACACTCGCCTTGTTCTCCATACTTCATGCGTACAAATCGCCTCTTTTCCAATCAGTGGTGAATAAGAGTCGCAACCGAATCGAGAAAAACTGGCTGGTCGAGGTGTTTATCTTGAGACTAGAAAATTTCTTTCTAGAAAAAATAAGTTAAGAGATAGGGGAAGATTATTTAACCTTTGCTCCAACCCAATACAACGATGGTGAGTCGAACGATGGCCCCATTATTCCGAAATCTTTTAATATGCTTTGTTTTAGGTGAACGTCAACACAGCAGATATATGAGCATTTGCGACCTACATTACCACCGTACTTACTAATGCCAACGGCATGACTACTTCGGAAACATTGCTCCAAAAAAGCACTATGAGTAGATTGGGTAATCCTGTGATAGAGCTTTATGATACAGGAAAATTGCATGAGGGCATTGTAGTGCGAAAAGTACAGGAAATATTAAAAAAGATAACTTATACTAAGTTGTTTTTATTAAAGTTGTCAATCAGTCCCAAAAAACACTACACCAGGTGTAATCAAACAGAACGTAACTTATCTAGAGTATGCTAAGTTTCTAATTTGAGAAAGATTTTTTAGGTTTTGCATATAGGACTTACAATATTTCGATGCCTTAACTTATACAATATTAACTTTTAAAACGTGTACTCTTTTTTGTGACCTTCGAAGCACGACCGTGGGTCAAAGTGTTTAGCGCAATACGTAATCACAGGAAGCTGGTCACGACCAATCCAAATCAGATGACCTTTCTTCATGGACTCAAGGCACTCCTTGCATATTGGATAGTGTTGGGACATTGCTATCTCCTCCTCGACCCATACGTAATATGTGAGTCGTAAATAAGCGTATAGCGGCGGGTAGAAAACACTTGATGAAATGCTGTCGCAAACATCTGTGTCCAGAGGGCGCTGTCTGTATGACTAAGTGGTTCTTGTTCTAATTTGTACGTGTTTTGCTCGTAATTTTTATCGTAGACTTGGCTTAGATGTTTGAGTGAACGTCGCCCTAGGCTTATATATCTCTCCGTAATATTTACATTTCGCTGCATGGTCGATGAAAGTCACTTAGAGTAGTAGATCACATAATGCTAGTATGTAACGTTTCGCCTTTGAAAACTATTCAGAACTATACTATGTTATGTTTACCGTTGAATCGTATGATGCTTTATCGGGTCGTTTCATAACGAGTTGGGGTGCATTGGACGAACTAATGTTCTGATGCAAAATTTGGGAACGCAAAATAATAACAAATAGGATTTAAGCGTAATAAATTCTCTTCTGGTAACTACTTGTGGCAAGTGGACGGGATACATCAGACGAAACAAGACCATGATGGGCAGCGCGTCAAACATATTAATACAATAGCACTACTTGTTTTATTTGTCAAGAGCTCAAATATAGCGTCAAAATTTGCACGATTTATATTCTAATTTTGCATCGCTAAGACGTATGCATGTACTATTAATACGTTGTATATTTGAAATCTTCTAGTTACCGTAAAGGAAGCTTTAGATGTGACGACGACAATCTTCTTCCAAATAGCGGCGACTGGAGCCTTCTTAGGAGTATCCGTATTTTTTGTGTCCAGGTACTATTACTAATAAAAAAAATTATGAATTTCTTTTGTTTCTGTGAGAAAAGCACGAATGCAATTTTCTTTTCGCCTAGGTAATGTTAAGGTCATCACAAACTTTTTCTGTACTGTGTCAGAAGAAGTACAAAAATTTGTAACCTTCGACATTACTTTTCCAGCGGTTTCATCATGAGTTTCACGTACGTGGCGAAAGACAAACACTGGAAAACGACACATTTGCGATTTTATATCATCTCCATTATTCGAAGGTGAGCATTTTATGCATGCACAGAGATCAGATTGTTTACAAAGAGGTGACCATCAACTGTTTGATATTGATGAGAGCGACGATATAAAATGATTTTGTTCTGTTGGACCTACGAGAATATATTTATCCTCTTGAAAAATGTTCGTGGCTAGCTCCAAAGGAATGATTTTAAATTTTGCTACCAGAACTGCTTATCAGGCCCACCCGCAAGAACACCGAAGAATAAATGATATCAGCATTGTTTGACACTTTTGCGGCTAAGGTTACAATTCACTTTCATTTGGGTGCCGAGATATACATGTATGTGTAGGCCAATCGTCTGTCCACGAACTTCAACGAAGGCATACTACGAACAAGATACTATGAATAATATTCGAAGTGCTAATAAAAAATATTGCATGGCCCGTGTACCTAGTGTGCCGAATAAAAATGCTCCGGTAAAAATTCAAGAGTTTTTTTTTTTATTTGCCTGTTCTATTTCCTGCAAAAGCTTGAACGGGCTTTTTGTCGTAAGCCTTAGCGTACGAAAAAAGCGTACAAAAAATCCAGTTCTTGCTGGAAAAAAAGCAACAGAGCCGTCATGCTGGAAGATACGGTGCCGTTTTCGTAATATGAGCATAGATAGACTTCTATTTATAAGTAAGCGTCATCGAAACTAGAAACTCCTATTCGAAATCGACCCTTCACGTTATTGCTAGTTTTCATGTGGCTCTTAAAAACTGAGGAGGCGAACAGAAAAAACCTGTGGACAGTTTAGATTTAAAGTTCATCAAAAAAAACATTTTTGACACACCTGTATTTTTTATATGAGATTTAACGACCGTTTCAGAAAGGAAAATATTAATTTTCAGTTGGGTTATTTAGATAACCGTTTGAGCCCTTGCAATCTGGGACTTCTGGCCTGTTATCAGTGTAAAACATATCCTTAGCCAGCATATTTAGGCAATCTACCAAGCAAAATAGCTTACCAGTACTGCTTGACGCAGTATTGGTGTTAAAAAGTTATTTGAAAAAAGGATCATTTAAAAAAGACTACTAGGTGGTTTAGGTTCCAAAATAAAGATGTAATTGCGGCAGACAGTTGCTATATTGAATAAACATGCAACAAAATTTGTGAAATTTTCATTTTGCTTTAGATACAGTTCTAAGAACAACCTATAAATGATCCGAATTTAGACAAAGTATCCTGTTTATGTATGTATGCATATACATACATATGAACAGCGAGAAAAAGAGCGCACATACGCTTTGAGCTTTGAATGGATGTGATCGTAAACACACCCAAAGATGAGGGAAAGATGATGATTATAAACATTATATGCGCTACATTGTTTGCTAAATGTATTATCCAAAAAACAATTGTGCTCCATCAAAGACACGCGTCGAACTGTGTTTCTTGTTTATCCAATATAATATATTACAAAGGCTTCTGCACACTACTATATCCCACTTTACCGGATAAACCCGGCACACATAGTGAAATATTCATTTTTTGTGAAAATTACGCTAGTATCATCATCAATTTATGGTACTGCACTGTTCCTTTTAATAAATTACTACTCCGCAGGATTTCCTTGCTAACATTTCTTCATTAACTTTATAATTACTTTGAACAGGTACTATCGTCTAATGCTGCCAGCTTTAGTAGTTTTGGTGGTGGCACTGGCCCTTCCGTACATCGTCCATGGTCCTCTAACCGATACGCATTTTCGGATGTTCACTAACTGCAAGGATAGCTGGTACAAGGTGCCTCTGGTACTTGTGAACACTGATGCTATTAATCATATGGCAAGTATCCAAATTTACTGTTTTTGATAACCTGCCAAATCACTCGTCACCTATGTTCTACATAGCGAGTTATTTCAGTGTGTGGACAACGTTTCCTTTTTTATTAACACCAAGTGACCTTTTCTAAATAAACAAGCCCTTGAAATCACCTCTTCTGGGTGCGGTATCTAAAATTTGCACCCAGTAGGAGTCAGCCTAAACGAGCGCCAAACTACAACTTTTGTTACATCTTCCCAATTAAGTAGTACCTATAGTTTGGGGAATATTTTGGAGTTATCTATCGGCACGATTTGATTGTACCGAGGCTGTTTTTTAAAACACAGACTTATAAAGATTTTTTTTTATTTACACGGATTAAATTTCAGTGCCTCTCACACTTATGGTACATCTCGGCGGATTACCAGATAGTTCTAATGATACTTCCCATAATGATCTTTTACCCAAGGTAAGACCCGCTATTGAAATATCTAAAATATTTCCCATAGTGAAATTTAATTAATTAATTAATTAATTAAGCTCGTAGTATTAAAAAAGTAGCATTTTATATATTTTTACTTTATATACTTTTATATTCCATTACATAAGAAGGCTCTTTCCTTGCGCGATGCAGTATTTAATTCATTATAATTATAATTCGCCTATGATTCCACCTCCATATGATCATCTAAGTCAATACATACTATTTATTTAATTATTATAGCTGCTATTTGTAAAATAATCTGCATGTTTATTATTAGAACAGTGTTAATTAGATTTTATTTAGAGAACATTTAGCCAAGTGATGATGATAGGTGCTCTCACTTGAAGGTACTTCAGCAGAATTTTTCACGAATAAACACAAGCACTAACAAGACCCGATGCCTGACATTCATTTTGATCAGGCATTAGCAGTGCAAAAAATACTATATTCCAGATCAGCTTAAACTTGATAGTACTAATGTAAACGTTTGCTCGGAGTACGGCCACCGGGTTTACGGGATAGTACGCACATAACTGTGACACGTGCAGATTTTATGTTGATGTGCTTTTGAATGAATAATGCACGTTTTAGGCGCTCATACGCTATACTTCACTTGTTTCTAGGTTGTTAGAATGATCATTGCTTTTAACTCGTATACACGCGTTATAATGATAATTAGCATACCAACAATGACTGAAGATATTGCTGATTTTTGTTATTAGACTAATATCACTAAAGAAATATATTTGTCGTCGGCCTTCTAGCTGGCTTAGTGAACCTTAATTGAGGCCACTAAGTCAAGTGGAAGCCTCCTTCGACTGAAATCTTCAACAAATCTTCTGTTTGTCGACTGCAGATACGTCCACCATCAATCATAAGTTATCGCTGCACTTACAAGCTTCACTCCCGTATTTCGTTTAGAAGCAAGCTTTATGAAAGTACAGTTGTATTGTCTAAACGTGTAAATTCAAAGTTCAAAGTTCTAAAACTCCGAAGCCTTTAGCTTTTGGGACTGAAAAATTTCCAAGGTCGAGGCGCCCGATTAGAGTTAGCGGCCAGCGCGCCGCCGCCAATGAGGCCGCGTGACATTTGAGGCATATTGCCTTACGAAGTTTATTGTACAGTTGCAAATCCACTGCCGTAAAAAAGATGCGATGAAACATCGGTACTATAAAACGTGTAACTTTGTGTTAGTTACTGTTCTCGTGTGATAAAAGTACAGAATGATCTCCGCCATGTTTTTTCTTCATGCGCCCGTGACTACGGAATGGGTAGGAGTAGCGGACAATTTAAAGTTGCGTTTCAGATCTTATACACATAGCGGATTATTGCTTCGTATATACGAACAAAATAAGAATGATGCGTTGACTCATCTACTGGCTCTAATCAACGCATTTTCGCTTTCAAGTCTACCTATGGCATCTTGAATTACATGGGCCAAAGATTAGAGATAATACTGTACCCTTAATTATTTTCTAGCTATCCTCGCTTAATGACTGCACTCATCGTGGCCATCTTCTGCCTCACAGGAATTGCGATAGCCATCGTGACATACCTTCTTCAACTACTGCCTTTCATGGGCTTTAATATTAACCAAACGTGAGTGGTCGACCTTTTTTCTTTAATGAGCTCGGCGAAGCCAAGTTGCCTCAGGTGCCTTTAAATTGTTTCCTAAATGGAACATGATATGTCGCATAAGTTCTTAGAATATCTTGTTATTTAAATTGGCTCTACTAGAAGTATTAAAGGTGTTTGGACCTCAGGCCAATACATTCGATCTCATGCACGATCCTCTTGCACGCGTTCGCAGGTAGAAGCTTATAAATGATCGCTGATTTAAGTTTTCACCATTCATAAGTCCAAAACAGCTTCTCTAACTTAGCGTACTCTTAATGGCTCTATTTGTACGAATAATTGCTTTTTTTTTTTTACCAAGTGCCAAGACATTTATACGTTGGGTTTATTTTTTAGTCATACGAATACCCAGTGTGTGCCGGATTATTAATGACTTTACCCCTACAAGTCGTCACATACATTTAATTATATATATATATATAGTATATTATTTTCGGCTTTTCTACTCAACATAGGACAGGCATTGGCATGCGTTGTTATCCCAGGTATCCTGATACTTGAACCTTATGAAATTAGAATCAACTTTTTCAAGATATAGCTCATTCGTTTTCCCCAAATGAGTTCCCTAATAGTTTAGGCTACTATAAACTTATTTTTTATGTCATGTGCTCTATAGGCTGAACTGGTTACAAAGGGTTTAATACAATAAAATAATCCAACGAAACTTATAAAAGTTTTTTTTTTTTATTTAGAACATACTAATCTCATAAGAAACGTTATTCCTCATTGGAATAATACTGCCCGTACCTATCGTAATTTCCACCGTTCAATTTACAGTGAATTGATTCGTGTGTCGAAGTATGTTTATTTCCTGCCAACAACTCATATTGGGATGGTAGGTGCCGGTATTCTTACCGGATTTCTCGCGCAACGTCATAAAAATCTCAAGATACCATCGGTAAGTTATAAGAAAATGTTTTGTTAAAATCAATGGTTCCCCATAAACATTTCACATTTGTTTTCCGAAATACGTTCAAGGGATTAGGGTAATTTTAAATTTAGTTGATGATATGCCATTGAAAAGTACCTTATTACCAATTGGACCAAATCTCGAAGGCAGTTAAAAAGTACCGCTATATTGGGGAGTTGTTCAGCCAAAGTCTTTTGTATGACGAGCGATAAAGGTACAGCTGCTGTCGTGTAAAACGTAGATCCACATTTAGTGAAGGGTGCATTCCACAACGTATAAGGCACTTTTTCGTAACTGTAAATTCATACCTCATTTAACTGTGACCTCTCCGTTACAATAATCGTTCGTAATGATCTTTGAAGGATAGATGAAGATCGCAGAATCTATTTTGTTTATGAGGAGGAGATTCAATGTTTCTATTATACTACAATGGTTTAAAAAACTTCGACAACTTCAAACGTCAAAAGAGCGCTAATATAGGTCAAGAGTGCTAAATATGAGCAGATTCTCTTGCACTCTTGTTTAGATATTCGATACTATAATTTAATACTTACCTCTTTATTGTAAGGGAAAAAAGGCCTTTTCTACGAGCCGCGTAGTATATCATAAAGGTACTGTGGAAACAAAATCCGCTGTTGTTATTGCACAATATGCCCTAATGTGCTTCCGATAGTTGTCTCGCTTCAAATATCTGGTGGACTAGAATAATATATTCAGAGATATCGTGATAGAAGAAAAAAATGTAGAAGGTTTAGACGCCAACTCCGAATATCAATGTTAAATTCTATTGACCGTAGAGAACTATAGCCGTAAAAATGCTATAAGCGTGGCATCCAGGCTTCAACGGAATGAATTAACAAGCTAGCCAAGGATTTTGCTGGAACTTCAACATTTAGCATTGTGCTTCGTGGAAGTCGTTTCCAGATTACTGCAATAAACTACTTTTACCCTAAGAACAGTTCGATTTCCTGGTAATTGATGGCAAATACTTTACGTTTCTTTGATCTTCAATGGCCATCTAGTCCTTCTACGATACCTACTAAAATGTTTTCAGATACATTATTATCGTTATTTTTTTAGCCTTGTAAGTGTTTCAGGTACCAAATAAGGTAAGATACACAGCGCACTCCCTGCAATAAAACGGTCTGGCAGACAAAAACAAAATATGTGTAGTCTATGGCGTAACTTGGAAAAAAAATATGGGGAATCGAATTTCGTTACATGATTTTTATACTGCCGGACACAACGGTCAGAAATCTATTTGAAGGCCCACAGAATTTTCTCGTGTAGTGGCATCCGATCTTTGTGGGGGCAAGGTGCGAGTTTGTGTTTCAATATAACAGATAATAGCTACTATGCGATGTTACCATTAAATTTTGCTAGCTATATGTTACAACACTTGTTTTTCTTGGTCTGGAATATTATTTAAGCGCATATATTTTAATGTTTATGCTATTGCAGTACGTGACCCGTCCCATTTGGGCGTTAACGCTGGGATCGTCGCTCGTAGTCAGTATTCTCCCTGTCCTTTGGTATAGAAATACTGACATCCCGCCTTGGGGTGATGCCTTGTACGCAGGATTGCACCGACACGTCTATTCAGTTTTTTCTGCCTGGCTTATTTTTGCCTGCGCAACAGGAAACGCTAGTAAGTAAACAAGTTTCGTCTGTTATTTGACAGACAGTGCCCCATACTGGCGATGTGTATAATGGCTTGGTTCTCAAAAATAAAAATAAAGCTTTTCGTTGTCAATAAGATGATATATAGGTATGTAATGCCATCTGAGGTTTCCGCTACTCACTTTGCATTAAACTTTAACCGAGGTAATTGCATACACGTATATCGCGTAGTGCTCAGAAACTTCAAATTATTGGCTCGTGTGCGTCTAGTGTACGTCTGTGATTACACAAACGGTTAAACATAGCGAGGTGCCTTTTTATTGGTGTCGATGCCCGACAACACCAATTGATATAATGATGCTGTGGTTTTCTCCATAATTGGCTCCAAGATTATCATTAATGTCACAACTCGTTATCTTTGTGTTGTCCATTTGATAAAATTCGCGGCAGACATGGAACCGATGTCCAGGTTTGGACTTTTTTAACGGTTACTGAAGGATCGATTGCTCATCATGGTTAGTGAAGCCCCGCAAATACGCAAGCAAACGCTTCTGACACACAGCGGAACTATAGCCAGTTTGATTCTCTGCTGCTGCGTTGCTAAAGGTCGGTTGGATAGGGCAGCATCACCGTTAGCCGATGTCGTCAACAGCTGTCTCTGAATTGGACCCGTTCATTTCGCACAGAATTTATTGAGATATGAGAGCTGTACCCCCAGGATCTGCATAGATGTGACCGAGCGTTGCACAGAATTTGGAAAACTTTAATGTCGCTCAAAGACCGCACTACTCTCGCTTTTCTCGATGTCGACACAACTACGATTGTTGAACGATTGTTGTGAACAACGCAGTCCATCAGTTGCGTCGGAAGCTTTGAAATTTTTAAGTTGATCCTTAAGGTAGACGACCCTAGTGCTAACGCTATTAGCGTTACCAAATCATCTGCATCAATCGCCGATATGTGTCGTTTGATCTCTTTTCCTCTACAGGCGATAGCTGCTTACGTTTGTCGTAGATTTTAGATGCAATATCCGAAAATGTCACTGGTGCCTCATGTGCAATAAATAATTGTTGTTATCGGCAGTGCTTATGGGTCGGCCATTGCATTTGATGTGACTGGCAAGCACGCTAAACGCGTCTTCATTGGATAGCAAATTCACACGGGTTGCTGTACATAGACCCAAATATGACTGTCAAGTGCATCAAGGTTACCAACATGGCAAATTTGAGGCGTTTTTGAGGTAGCCTTGTTTGTGTGGGCTGGCAGTAGAGTTACCTAACGACATGACTTCAGTATGTTGGTCTCACAGTCCAGTTCTCTTCACGATTAGGACGCCTATTTTTAATAGATGCACTGTTCAAGTTTTCGTTTTCCACGATACCTCAGACTGTTTTGAAATATAATCACACACCCTCCAAAGGTTTGCCTATTGCGGCTAAAAAAGGACAGTTACGAGGTGAAAGAGCATCTTGTAGGTAAAGAAGAGGTTTGGCGTGTTCTAAGGGTCAACTGCGCCACAAAGAAGGTGACTACTCAGTTTGAACATCTACGGCTACCTACTTTCCTAATGCAACTGCATAACATGCAATTGGCCTTTACAGGAGACTTAAGCCCTTATTAAAATAGGCAGCAAGGCGAAAAACTCTTCGGACTCAGATCTAGCTGTCAGTTAGGCAAAGCTGAGCGAGAACGAGTGCGGTTACACCGCTTGGACGAAAACGGACAATGGTAACTGACTCAGATTTATGTAAACTGTCTGGGTTGTAACGAATGGGAGAGTGAAAAACAACAACAAATCCGTTCAATCTGCACACCTGTCTATAGGACATGTTCAACGTGGCAACATCATAGGGCATCTTTCTAAGGGAGATAATCCGTCTGACGCCCTGCTGTGACCCGTAAGCCTCGTTCTCGTACTGTTTTGAGAACAGTTTGAAGCGATTAAGAACTATCGAAGTGGTGTGAGAAGATACGTGTCAGGGGATACTGGGGATGATTTCTATCCGACTAAATCTATTTCTATCCGTTGAAAAAGTTTGGTCTAAGTCACTTAAAACAACTTCACTTATAAACATTCAGGCTTTTCTTATACAACTCGGCGAGAACAAACAACGACACCTCCTGTCTGATGATCCGCTAGCAGTATTCTGAAGTATTTTTGTCCTAATGCACAGTTGGTAGCTATAGTAGCCGGCTCCATTCTTGCACTAAGAAAAATAGAAAACTTGGTTGACACGAGGCTGAACAGAGATGACACGGACATCGAATTATCCAAGCGTAAAGCGAATCGCGTTTTCGTAATGGGAAAACCTACTGTTGATGAAGAAAAAATATAAACCCCTATTGCCCATATATTGAATTGGCAAGCTACAATGTCCCGTCGCAATAGCACGCCGAGAGAAGAGCACGTGCTAGAATTTTGTTTTTCTACTTAAAAGCTCCACTGTCCTTCATGGTCATTAAGCGTAATCTTCATTAATGTTATTCTCGAAAGATGGCACTTTGTGCAATTGGATAATCTGATAACGTCTCTTATTTAATTGTGCGCAAAGATCAATCACAAATGCACAACCTCAGTAACGCACTGTGTCTCAAAACTTCCCACAACAAAATACAACGAACTTGTGACACAATTCATATTGATGGATTGGAACAAACGTTCTTATCCTTGGGTTAGTCCCGGATGAGATGCGCGAAATTCGGCATGGAATGATAAATAAGATCTTCACTAGTTTTTTTTCCCATATCGCAAAAATCTCCACCGTAGTCGTAATGCTACTTGCGTAAATCAACTTGGCGGCCTCTTCGATGCGACGAAAGATAGAAGAATTATGGAAATCCCAATATATCAATGAATATTTGAGTAAACGTTTAATCGAGCAAAGTTTTACGTCTTAAAAGAAACGACAATTCTGAGGTACAAGAAAAGTGGGGGTTCTGTGCAATATGAATAAATTTATTCCGGCAGCACCTACGGCTCTTCACTTTCGTCCATACGATTCCCGATAGGTATACAACAGTTTAATCTTATCGGCATATCGTCGCTTGAGGTAAACAATTAGTTGCGAGAAAGGGAACCGAATAAGATCCTGCACTCCACATGTTTGCCAGCAGTCCTTTTCAAAGAAAGCGGCGACATGCTTAATAAAGATTTCTCGCATAAAGAGTCGGTGTTCTTTCTTACTGTATAGAATAAGCTCTGTAAATGGCCGTAACTGAGACAACTGCGTTTTGCGACCATCTTGTTTGCCCTTTCATTTGAAATATACATTTAAATCTGGACTAATAGAGTGAATAAGTGCTGCTATTTCTGCACACCCATACATTTAAGGAAGTGGCCTTTAAGAGATGAAAGTATTGGAAATTTCACGTTGAACTGATTTTCAAAATTCTGGCAAACGTTTTCCAACGAATCGCGCGGCAGTTGTCGCTTAACAAATGCTATTGTAGATATTGGCTTGACTAGTGAACGTTTTAGCAGATCTCCGGAGAACCTTCTTTTTGTGGGGTCGCAAAGAAGTACTAGACTAACATGCGTTGTGCTGTTCGACGACGCCATGGACAACGAGCGTGCGACATCTATTGAAAAATTATTAGAACATATTCCAACAGCCTTAATCCGCTTCGAGAACGGACGGCGAAGTGTATTGTTTTTGCTGTCCCTATCACAGAAGTACGGATAAATTCGTACGTGAAATTAACTTGTTTAGTTCGGTATTGCTTGCCGGAAAGGTCCCGCGCCTAGAACACGTTTGACCCTTGATCTGACAGTAATGTGTGGCAGACATCGATATATAGCCGACCGGTGTTTTACAGCTGATGCGTTAATGTCAAGTGGACTTCCAGTTTTACGTTGTGCCGGTGCCGTCATTTTGCAAGTTCGATGTGCGTCAACCGAGATATTTTGTTGGGATGCCATTTTCGGGGCAGCGGTAACAGTACATTAATGAGACAGTTCTTGGTGTACGCGTAACCAAAAAAGTCGGAAAGCTGACCGGCTCATGTTTGTCATGTTTTGTTGCATTGGGGCGTAGGGACTGTGTGTGGGCTAGTGTCCTCAAAGTTCATCTAACGCATTATTTTGTTTTTACGCGAATTGAGGTGCGGTGCTATGCGCAGAGAAGAACAGTCCAGCTTCGAGATTAGGAGCATTTTGTCAACTGTGACGTCGCTTACCCACGAACGCCATGCAACAATGAAAACAGGCAGTTTCAAATGCCCATGAAATTAGTCCTTAACCGCTATGAGAAAGTGGGCGTGATGAGCTCCATGAAGCGTAACCTTCGATGATGCCTGGCCGCAATGACAGCTTGGACCTTTCGTTTAACTCATGTCAACGTCTCAGTAAGGCGTTAAACATATTGCTCTTCGATAGAAACAGCAGTGGTGTACTATAGCACGGCGTAATCTCGGTGAGGAGTGCACATCTATTGAGTGCATTGTTATGATAAGCATAACTATGAAGTATGCTGCCGTGCTGATTCATATCTCAGCGCTAGCAAGGGCTGTCAGACAGTAATAATGAGAAACATAAGGCTTTTTGGGGTTACTAGCTGTTTACATGATTACCATGCCGTTTCATGATATGTTGTCCGACAAGAACCAATCCGGTTAGGCTCCTAACTGAAGAACGTTTTTAATGAAATATCTAAAATAAATACGTGATTCTATAAAGCGCAAGACCGTGACTCTCGGATGAGGTCATCCTGCCGTCCGGTGGCGTTGGCTGATTGAATATGGTAATAAACTCTGTTATTAGGGAGTATTTAGGGCACCGTGTAAAGCTAGTTTTCCTTATCCGATGAAAGACTGCAGTACAATTAGCTCATTGAGCTAGCCTCGCCATACGCATTCGACTTCAACGGCTTCGTAGATTACCATATGCAACGAATAAATGTTTATAAACAACACACTCATACACTCACTGCAAGACTTTCCCGTAATGTATTGAGTTCCTCTTTCAAAATCAACATGGATATTACCAGTTATTAATCTCAATTTAATAAGAAATATCAGTCTCATGTACAGTTGGAAATTTCGAAAAAGCTTTAGATATTTGTTTTACTAGTTATTCCAGGTGGCTGTTCTAAAAAGTATAACGCTTACGACTCGAAAGGACTAGTACCCTGACAGACGTAGCATCCTTCCTGCACTCTGAAAGTGTATTATAAAATTATGTTGTTTCTTAAGCTCGATTTGTGTTAAATTAGTAATATATCCCCTATATTTTGATATGTTAACGAAAAAAGTTGTCTGCTGGTGCTCCCAATATACGTAAACATAGGAGAAGGAAAGATGTGCCGTAAGCTGCCGTTGAGCAACAAATTTAGCGGTGCCTCACATCTTTCACGAAGTGATCAAAGCGACAATAAAAAATACGCGGAAATTATAGAGCCGTTCGATGTATGTCATATAACTCGCGGTCTCGCTCAGTATTGTTAATTTCTTGGATTAGTTGCAATGTTGATATTTTCAGAGGAACACATGTTTAAAGGTTTACGTTATGAGCAACAAAAGGTATCGCGGTTAATCATCGGGCAGCGTTTTCTGCCTCCTTCCTGACGGAAAGACTCTGGATTTTAAAAAACATGTTGCTAATAATATTTGCGAAACTACTGAAAACCGTTAAGCGTCTATGGATTTACTGTAGAGAACGCTGTATTGTTTTCCGATACTATTACCTCCCGCCATCTTTTCTGTGCTTTTGGACTACGATAGGTATGGCGGTTCTGTTAGAGTAGGCGATGAAATTACTAGGTACTTGCATACCTATTATGTTTACTTAGTGCTTCAGATAAAACTTAAGGTTAAGAGATTATGTATTAAATCCGCCAACATAGAATATGATGTAATGAAGGATATACTCTAACCTTTAAAAAATAACTACGGTACCATGTTGACACGCTTTACATTTGTTTATCGTGTTCTTCTAGATAATTTGTCGTCGTTACTGTCGAGTACTCCGCTAGTGTTTTTGGGTAAACTGTCCTATGCAATTTACCTTGTTCACTATCCGATTCTTATATACTTCCTCGGTACAAACGCGACGGCTCAACAGGCGCTTCACACTCGAATGGTTTGTGGTCAACTTTCAGTTATAAGTAAAACTGATTTGGAATAGTTGTAGTTGTTCTGTAAAACTTCGACGTCTTGATTCAAGGAAAATGAAAACTATTATTGTCCATTGATTTCAAAATTTTACTATCAATAGTTCGATAACATAGAAGTATCGACTCGATATCATTTATCTCTACAGCAAAAGTAATAGAATAAGACTTTACGAAAGCCTATATATATATATATATAGAAATGTTTCCAATAAATTCCGAATGTTTGTCTCTATATGCAGGTCCGTGATTCACTAGGCGTTTACCTACTAAGCGCAGGTGTGGCCTATGTACTTCACTTGTGCGTCGAGGCACCTGTCATTGCAGGAGATGCTCTGTTCTTTAAACGGCATACTGAGAGCCCTCACGAGGTGGGACACCACGACGACAAAGATAACGGCTTAAAGGATAGTAAGGAATATAAAGAAATTGATCTCAAACAAGCATATAAGCTGTACTAAAACTTATTAATTCATAGTTTGTAATTTATGTCTCGACCAGATCTTGTGTAACCTCGATGACTTTGTCACACACTGCCACTAGATAGAACTAGGCACGGTGAGAGTCATATCATATTTTTTCCTTAAATATACGTTATGTTATATGTGAAAGGGCAAAAGTAGGCTTACAGCTTGAGACAGGTAGACTTAGGGAATCCTTAGGTGGAGAGGGATTCACTTGCAGATAGCGATCAGTATTAACCTATAATCGTCATAACGCATATGATTTCACAAATCAATTCTAAATTACTTTGAGCTCCTAGCCACTATTAGCCTCTCTAATATACTTTGGAAACGTATCCATTAATCTTGTCGGATATGGTTGATATGTAGCAATTGTGGCTAACTATTTGTCTATAAAGTTTTTAGGAATTATATTGCATATGGCGACATAGGTCGCGTATTAAATTTTTACTACAAGTATGTTTCGTACACGTCTTTCGCAAAGCAATACCAGTTGTAAATAAAATAAAAAATAAATAAAGAAAGCTTTACGATGATTATAATTTCCCATGTGACAGCGCGAGAGAATGAAAAAAACATGACATGAGCACAAATAGGGGTAAAATAACGTACACGTAGAAACGTGTCATTTACGTATCCATTTTTCAGTTTAGTTAGTAACTGACGAAATTAAAGCGACCCATGTCAAACGATCGATAATAGGAACAAGTCGGCATTGCCTATGTACCATTTATAACCATCCGTCTGATCTGAGCCATCACTGTACAACAAAATTATCTCCAGTTATCTCTAGTCCAAAGTAAGCCTGCCTGTTTGCCAATTGTAAGCCTACTTTTAGTACTTTCGTCCCCGCCTTGCGTATGCAGCTGTGGATTTGGTCAGTTGTGCCCACCTGGGAATGCGTAATGGTGGACGTTTGTGCTGGCCCGATTGTGTGCCCCTAAAGATCGATCCTTTACATAGTTATTTCTGTTAAGCTTAGTAGACACGTAGACTGAATATATCATTGTAATTAAAATCATATCCGTAGTTAACTTTTTTGTTCAATTTACATAAATCAACCGAATGATAATTATAATAAACGTTTGGATTTTTACATCTGGCATTTCCGTTAAATATTGTTCAGAGAGCTAGCGCCCAATGCAAAACAAAGGACGGGTTTACTTCAAACCCAGCCCAGTTCATAGAACTGCCTGCATTATTCCTAACAAGTAATATGTGCTTGTGCATACGTTGTTTTGTAACATGTTTGGACTGTAATGTTTGTTGTACATTGTATTGTACCTGGTAGGATAATCACAAACGATTACATCCCAGTAGATATTCTGGTTGTATTGTTTCATCCTAAGGCGCGCTGACTGTACCTAATAGGTTGAATGTGGTTTGCGTTCCCTATAAAGATGGTTGTTAAAGAAAATGTTCGCCCTTACTGGGGCGAGCTCAGCAAGCAGCGCTCTCTCTTTATTAGGCACTAGCAGGACAAAGTGGCTATGGCCAGTCATAAATGTCTCGTACGACCTTGTTGCTATTACCACCGAAAAGCTTGCTAATTGCGCAGTTGAACCTAAACTAATCCGGTCGTTATATGTTAACAGCATCGGGTATGGCTCTCGACATACTGCAAAGTCTTATGGAAACACTTTTTTCGACTCTACCCGTCACCAAACCGGCAACTGATGTATTTTTTCAGTCAAATAGACATAACAATCTAAGTACCTAATTGCCTGTAGGCACCATTTTCTCCATTTGGTCAAATCACGAACTAAAGTTTTACATAATTTCCTTCTTAATGTGAGACACATAATATAACACATTGTACAGTTTTTAATACAACAGAAAAAACGTTTCCCAGCCGCTGTGTCGGTTGCATGGCACAGTCAGGGCAACGAACGTTCGTGTAGCAATATTGGATCTTGAGTTGATTATAAATCTGGTGATCATTTCCGTACCAGCTTCATCTGACCTCAAGAGGACCAGATTTGGTACGTGAACGTCGAGCAAATAAATTTGCGAACTAAATACTCAATTAGTCTCTAGCTGAACGAAAATTCCAGAAAATTAATTACATTAGCTAAATGCTGGATAAAGCTTTTTAGCATTTACCTGATCAGCTCGAACAAGCCGACCCAATGGAGGCATTATTTATAATGACGATAAACTGTAATGCTCACACTGATCCCAAAGGGTAAACAATGATCAACAAATCCATGTTATTGTGACGAGACACTGCCAAGAAAGCTAATATCTTTACGTGCGTAAGTATGACTAATATCCTCGTACGTAAATTCGTGCCATATCTCGAACTGCCGGACGAACGGCAAGTGTTCAGGACAAAGGCTCCTCTTATCTGTTCGTTCGGCATTAGTATATGATGTTTGAAGAAAAGCGAAGTTTTATATAGTACGTTTGTATATTTGTGCGATTGTACTATGGCTTGCAAACACGAGAAGTTGACATACTGTTAAGTTCCGATAAAGACAGTTCATATTTCCAGGGCCGTACTACAGTTCAACAACACTGGGTGACGGAGCGACCGAAAGCCAGCCTATCGTCTAGACGAACGATTTGCATAGGGAAACAACATCGATCCGTTATTATTTGCGTTAATAGTTTCTGACTTTCCATACCAGATGACACGCAGGCATCCATATCATTACGCACGCAGACGACGTAGGGAAGCCGATCTCCCAAGAAACAAGCGATAGTAACTCGAAGCTTGTCCGTCATTAATATTAGTCAGTCGATCCGGGGGAATCCGATGCGCTTTCCTCAGAGCGCCATATTATGGAAAATAAGAATAAGCTTACAGTCTTGGTGATCATTTTGACTCCAAGCGTGTAATAGTCCGGCGTGTAAATGGAGCGGAGCGCGAAGTGCTTTTCGATTAATAACCCGCAGGGATTCTTTTTGAAAGCAGGGTTAGATATTTTCAGGTAAAGGTAGTATCAATAATATTCTGCAGTACCTGTCCCTCTCAGATCTCTGGACAGAGTCAGACCTTTTGTTTACGCGTAGACGGGAAGGAGATTGCTTGGAGTTCCGTTTCAAAGCTTCCGCCTACTGTTAGACTCAAAGTAAGTGAAACTAGCTTCCCCTTAATTCACCTATGATGGTAACCACCATGACCAGACAGAGTCAAATCTACTTCTTCTAAGAAGACTCCTAGGTTTATATCCGGTTAGCAAGAGCTGTGCTGGCCTGCTTGCTTGCAGATATGTTGGTCTTCGTACAAAACTTTGGAAATAACGCGTGGTCTCTAAAACATCTAAATGTCCACAGTCCATTAAACCTTGCGAAAAGAAAGCGATCAATATTGACCCTGATTTTTTTTAAATACAGAAGCAATAAGTAATTACGAGTGGGAAACAATGCCTGTGGAAGAATTGTTACAAAGTAACACGTAGATATGTAGTTCGTGGACTCTATCATTTACTTTGACGCTTGGCACTATCCACCTGAGATTGCGGATCACCGTGCCCTATACTGCGGAAGCAAATGTCGTTGATAAATTATCAATGTTTAATTCTTAATATTGAAGTATAAATTATCGAGTTGGCATGGACGTTCAGTTGGTTTTTATATGTTATTCAACATGTAGTGGATATGAATTGTCAAATAGAGACTATTGAGATATTCATTTCGATACAAGTGACTATTCATCAAATGTTCTTCTACGTTGCCATGGAACTTCTAGAGCTGTCCGTTTTGGTTTAACTTTACCCTTCTTGCTCCAAAAACTGCTTTTAAACGCAGTTAAACTCTCGATGTCTGGCTGTACTATTTGGTGTAAAAAGTTAGACACACATCGCTACAAGTTGCCTTTAATTGAAGAAAGAGATGAACGCGTAGATGATACTGCTAGAACGCAATCACTATTGTCCCACAGGGGAAACTTTAACTTACGAAGCATGCAGTTTGTTGAATTAGCACTCCCCTGAACATTCTGTTCCTAACTAGTCCAGGCGCTGAAGCAAATCATAAATAAAGTATGTTAGAACACTTGAAATTGCTATTCCAGGTCTAGATGAGCGCGAATTCTGTTTTGATTGGTTGTTTATTGGATTTGTAGGATTTCCTTTTAGCTCTCCTTTGCATCGTGTTCGATTCAATTACATGTTTCATTCGAGATGCAAAGCTGTCAACGACGGAGGTCTCAAAAAATCCGTGTAGGAAGTTCGATTCTAGAAAGGGCTTAATGCAATTCCGACTCGTGAAAAAAACTGTGGGGTACGTAGACGTAACATTATAGCGGGCCGTGTAAGAAGGTTCGCTCTTCTTTGAAATGATGACCTCATCACTTAAGAAAAGGCACGTGCAGGTGTATCCTATACCTCGTGGGATACAGGATTCCCCCTAGCCAATCAGACCTCACATATGCATGTTGGCTAGATTGCGAAAAGTACGTGAGTATCCATCGTGAGAAAAACAAGAAATAATCGACACGTTACCTTGTACAGGTACTGTGCGCCAGTCGGCCATTTGATTCAAGTCGCAGAAAAAAAATTAAAGGAGAAATCACGTTCCGCCACGACAAACGTTTAACCTCAACATTTTTATGACTCAATGCTAAAAATTATACAAACCTAACTAAGATGTTTTCTTTTCACCCGCCCGATTAACGTATCTTCCCTTTTCTGTATTTTAAAAAACGTATTGATCGGTTTATGGCAAATAGAGATACTAGCTTTTGAAAGACTGACTTGAATATCCGCCTGAAATCGGTCATTGCTAATAACAGTCTATAATAATCATAGATGGGCAAACATTTGGCCTTATTCAAAATGGAATAAAATTCCGCAACGAAATAAAGTTTGATTAGCTAAATGATGTTTGATAACCAACTAAGGCTAAATATTAAAGCTATAATATAAATGGTAATGGCAGCTTTTTCATTGTATCAGTTATTATTGTTGTATGGAAAGAATTTAGGACTTTATTATAGATTTTCCCCTTTTACAATATCGATTGTTCTTAGTATTATTATTCCATATTTTTATTTATTAATGGTAGGGTCGAACTGTTAGAGCGCAAACCCAAGCACCAACTGGCTTTATTTACTAGGCAGATTCAAATATGTATTATAAATAAACGATTATTTAAAGATCGGGCTTTTAGAATTGTTAGGTTAGTGATCGAAAAACTACAAAGTAGGTAACGATGGCCGATGGATATACAATTATTATGTATCCATTTGTCAACCTCCGAACATTAGAACCATGCCAAAAAGTTGAGGGGTTTACCAACTATATGTATGAATTTTATTATAATAAAAGAATCATGGTCTTTTTTTATGGGTGTCTTTAACTGAATGATAAGAACCTGCTGTCGAAAGTTCGAGATGTGTCCAGGCAGAATAGTACATCATTGATGCGATACCTTTTTACTCGAAACTTGGCGTTTGATATGGAAAATAATTGTTTGCTTTCTGCCGTTTAGTTTCCCGTCTAAAAAATTAGATGAGTTCTGCCAACCGCTTGAGGTAGAGTATCGAAGTTTATGCGATGAACGTACATGAGGTGCTTCAAACAGAACAAAGTGCTCTTATTATTGATGGAACGAATAGTATGTTAATTGAATGAAATGCTGTAATAAATTACAGGCGCGTACGCAGAATTTATTCGGTAGAAATCATTATGAGCCTTCTTTGGCATAACGATTACTTACATTCACTTACCTTTTATAATTATACTAACTTTATTTCTTGGCTTACCTTGATCTGAATATCACTTTTCATGTAATTATATGTGTGTATATACATGCATTTTTAATGTGTAATCGGCCTTGTCTTGTCCATTTTCGTAAAGCTTGAATAAAAATAACGTAATTCGTTCGCGGTCGACCTAACTTGACGTACTTTATACAGGGACATAGATTTTTGCGTATGTGATATATCTAGCTTACTAACAAGATGGTAGGAAAATTAGAGGACGTGCTTTATATTTCAACGTTCCGCCGATTCGAATAATTGAAAGTTGTTAGTGACAGAGGAATGACAACTGATTTGGCGTGTAAGGACTCTATTAAGTTATATTTACAGTTTCAGTTATCGAGCACAGGCTGACTATCCTGTAAGTTGGCCACATACATGAATTAGGAAGGTACATAATCTCTTTGAGATACCTCCTAGTCTAACTATTGTATACCTACCGATAGATATATTATGGATATAAAAATAATATTGACAGCTTTCCTTAACATTAAAAATTTATCAGACAATGTTTCGTGCATCTAAACAACTTGGTATAAATGTCAATCCATTAGTTTAGCGGTTCGCCCGGCAACATAACAGGCTTGTTTGTTTAAGAGAATACACGCATTAATATATTCGTCTCCCTATCAGTTCTTTAGTAGGGTACTAGAGATAAAAAGGGCAATAGAAGGCACTCTATCGTGAATAACAGTAGCACTAAATTTGTAAAAAGTTAAGCGGCGAAAAAAGTCTTCGCCGCAAACGCCCACGTCAAGAAAGAGCGCACTGCTGGCATCGGCTATACGTAGAGTTTTGAAGACTTGCGTTATGATCTTTAACATGATGAACGTCTTGACGATGTGGAACCAGGGATCGTCGAGGAAGATTTTCGTCTTGAAAATGAAGAATCTTGCGGTTCTCCCGAAGACTACTCTGCTGACTGCCTAATTGAGAGTTGTGGCCGGACGGGTCAGAATGTCAACTTGATACCGAATGTCTCTTGCGGTCGCCTTCATAGTCCACACTGCCTGCAATGTAATGGCTTACGTACGCTTTCGCTCTATGAGAAAATTACCCACTACTTTGGTTCACCAATGCAGAAACAAAAGGATACCTCCGGTCATCATAATAATCTACTACAACGAGGTGCTCAGTATAATTTCACAGTTGACAAATGGCTACGTGTACTGTCGGAGACATCACTGATAAATCTAGCAAAATCCACCTCGGCTCAATCCATTCTAGTGGAGACAAGTCTTTGATACCATAACTAATAGGCAGTTCCGAGGACTTCTTCACGTCGAAGGAATTGCAAAAGCGTCAAAAAAACAAATACATATCCGACAAAAATTATATCGGATCTTTGTCGAGAAATGCCATTCCCGCTGTTTTCGAATTAAGGAAATAACAAAAAGTGGAAAACTGAAACGAGCGTGACCGATGATCACATACTTCTCGTAGCGCAGAATCCTCATACCCTACTATGCGTGTCGCTAGCCTTATCGGGAATATCTGTGACGCACATCGGGCAAGAGCTGTTTCATATTTAGTATTATCATTTTTTGACGTTTACATGAAAACCTGAATATTTCTACATACGGGAATGCGGCCTTGTGGCAATTTCACTTAAGAAATTAATACAAACTCACGGTATAGTCCATGTTGGTAATCCATGCGATTAAATCATGTTTGGACTAACTAATGTTGAAAACGCAAAAGGAATTTATAAGCATTGATCAATCTCTAGTATTTATTTCCAACAAGCAAAATAAGAACACTAAGCATATGTGTTTGTATCGAACTTCAACAAAGTAAAATCATTATAAACTAGAATAAATAACATAACATTGTTATCCACTGTACATATATCTGAAGTAGCATGAACAATGATTCCAGAGACGAGTAAACAAATCATCAAGTCCTTTTTAACGTTTAGCGTTTTAACGTTTTTAGCGTTTGAGCCGCTGATTAACGTCTCGCGATTGTGCCAATCAGGGTATCTATGACAGAACTGAAGTCTGCGTCGTCAGCCAAAGCATTTTCAGCAGCTATGATTGCTAGTTCCGAGTCCCCCAGTTGTACGGCACTTCGAATCCGCTTTGTTTTCTCCATAGTCGCTGGCGAGACGTACGTCGGTTGACAGAGACATAACTTTAACAACGTGTACATATTACAGAAGTCTTCCGTAAGACGCATACTTACAAGAAGGTCAAGGATCTCTTTAGGCGATTTCATTGCCAAAAGCTCCTCGTGGAAAGCAATTCGAGCAGACAATAACTCGCTCAAAAGGGCCTGCTCTTCGAGGTCTGCTCGGTAAACGATGCCAATATTGGCGACGCTATTTTTTATGTCATTTTCTCGGGCTTCTACAAGTCCAGTAGGGTTAAGGAAGCCAAAGAGTACGTGGGCTTTTGTGACGCTGTCATAACGAGTCTCCACCTGTCCAATAAGGCTTTCCATCATAGGAAAAAATATTTCAATTTCAAAAGCCTTTTGCGAATAGATAGTTTCATCTGCGTTCCATTCTGCTTGGAGTGAATGACTTTCAGCAAACGCTTTAGCCTTCTTAATGTAGCATAGAACCGCAGATTTCATTTCTTTGAGATCTTCCACAAGCCCGCCAAGAATCACAGATGATTTCGAAAGATGACAGTCATCCTTCTGAAGTAGTTTGGTGACCACTTTCGCTTTGCGGAGTACGGACCGCCAAATTTGAAGAAGAACAATAAAAGTAAAGCGTTTCATTTGGTTCTCCACCATCAGCAGGTCTACCCGCTCTTCTTGAGTACATCTGCTGTCGGTAGCCGTTCTACGCAACAATGAAGTAAGTTCGTCGTATGAAATGATGATGGCATCGACGGCTTCCAAATGAATTTCCCAACGACCATTAGTACATCTCTCCTCGATTTCACTGCCCACTAAGCAGCACTCTAGAGCGTTCCATCTTTTTCTGTTACTAGCAAAGTGGCCAAAAAAGCGGCGAATAGCTTCAAAGAATAAGGATACTTCTATATGAATGAGAGCTGAGTCAGACAGTACGAAATTTATTGGATGTGTAGCCGAATGGGTGAACATCGTCAGCGGCTGAATTGCTTGAACCTCGTCAGTAATGTCCGCGTAATGACGCCGCATTCCCGGGTGACCGTCAAATGACAATCCTCTGCAGTATTCAATTGAAATACCAATGTTCTTTATATAGTTAAGCAGGGCATTGCCTGAAGAGGCCCCTTCACACACATAGATCATCCCCAAGAACGAATCAAGTACCTTTGTATCTATGGATTTTCTCATAACATAGCGCGCTGTAATTGATATTCGATTGTTAGCGCACGCGTCGATCACTAGTGTGTAAAAACGCGTCTCGCTTATCTTTTGCGCTATGTGGGAAATCAACTGTTGGGCTGTTAGACGAACCAACTCAAGACGGCCCATGTAACTTAACAGACCACCTTCCCCTCCTCCTCGAGTTGCCATCTCCGCAAGGTAAAGGGAAAGTCCGAGTTCTTTCTTTGCCACGAGCCTCACCAAGTCCATAAAACCAGGCGCTTCCTTTGACTTTATATCACTATTACCTGCTAAGGCAGGCTGTCGGCAGTAGAAAAATAGTACCTCTAAGAGGCGCTGAGCAATCTCTCGAAATGAAGCGATCTCCTTGCCAGAAAGAGCGATCTGATCTTCCGGATTCTTTGCTTTACACCATATACGGAGCACCGCGACGGCAAGTAAATGCATTCTGCATGCTTCATGCCGCTCAATGTTTTCCTTAAGCGACCCCCATTCGGTCATTCCTATTTCTGTGAACGTGTTGTCGTACGAGGCTGCGTCACGTACTGCGAACAGGAAGCACGGCAGGCAGAAAATCGCGTCCCTCGATGTCGAATACGAAAGCCAGGTACGGGAGTCATGTTTTCGATAATAGAGGTCTGTAAAGTTGTGTAACGGCAATGACGGCTGGCAAGAACCCCTATCGATAATTTTCTGAATTAGCGCCGGGTTTTCCCGGATATCCCCATAGATTAGAGTACCGAGGTCAAAGGGCCCTGGCGAACCTTCTAAGCTAAAAGGATCACGACTGGCTATAGCATGCTTTGAGCCAGTACTCGATGCGCTTGTCCAAGAATTGCTGCGTTCAATCGAAATGCCATCCGAGCCCTCACCGCTAGAATCCTCTTCTTCGATTTCTCTGAATTTGCTTATATTTTTGGATGGTGTTAGTGCGGGTTCACGGCTACCAAGTTTAGACATGTTTATTTCACTGGCTTGTTTCGTCGGCCGATAAAACGCGCACCTATCACCTGTCGATATGGTCGGATCCTGAACTTGTGAGGACACTTGCGCCTCGAAGTCAACGACGGGATCAATGCAGTTGAAGACTGAGCTGGAAATTGTAGGAGTGTCGAAAACAGCGGACGGGCCGGGCAGGGGTACCGAGGTAGAGACCGAGGGATTCGAAGCCGCGGGGGTCGCAGGCACGGAACCTGCCAAGAGGAACGGACAAGAGCTTGAGCTAGACAATGTCTTGCGCAGTCGAGCAGCGAGGATCGACGAACTGAGGCATTGATGCTAGCTAGTGGCAAGGTGCACATGGTTCAATGTCGGAGTAGTTACTCCCTTCGAAACGGGTAGCCGAGGGGTTGCGGCGCGGGAGGCCAAATGGCCGTGGAGCATCAAAAAGAGCTGATGAAGGCTGCGAATAGCAAGGCTAGGGACCAGGCGGTGGCCAAGAGAAGCCTTCCTTTGGAGTCCCGTCGCTCCCACTCAGATCGCGTCTATAGGCGAATTCGTGTTACTCTCAATGTCTTAAATCAATTATATCTAACTGATAGGGCCAACTGACAGGTTGTCATACAGGTAGCTTCCCCTGTTCTCAACAATAGACGCCCCCTTAATGGCGGTAATGCTAGTAGTAGTAATAGTAGTTTTAGCAGGGCTCACAAAGGTAATAATAACAATGATAATAAAAATAGCAGTAGCTGTACGCCAGCAGCGCGGCAACGGAAGCGCTTACCTTGTTTTAACAGGTACCGGCCGGGTAGCTTATGTATGCGAAGTGAAGGATCAAGCGTTTCGAAGAAGGGGTGCTCAAGGGTCTCTGCTAATGTGATCCGGGCCGATGGCTCGTATTCAAGCATTCGCGCGATCATTTCGAAAAGGTTGCGCGTATCCTGGTCGTCGGATACCATGTATCTCAATAAAGGTTTACAATTTTCCCGAACATATCTGTACAAAACAGAGACACAGCAAAACTCGGATCAGGTCAGCGAAAACAGCTCATTTCAATTATATCATCATTCAATTGCATTGCCAGTCACCTTCTTGAGAAGTTTTAGTTACCATTCTCAACTTTTTAAGCGGGTTTAGGTTTCATTCGTTGCTATAGTGCTGATAGCACCAATGCATTAAGAAAGCTTCCGACGTAAAAAGTCCATGCGAGAAAAGCTTTACGAGTCGGACTAATACTATCCTGGGTGTTTATCAATATCCAGTAGGCTTTCGTTTACTTTGGCTCCTCTGCCACGTAACATACCTCGCCCATGAAGACTGATTACCTCTGTAATTGTGGTCATGTCTTCGAAATAATATAACAGAGAGCAAGGGAGAAAGTAACTACTGGTTAACATACTTTCCCGCTGAACTTTTTTCATCCCAGTCCAGATGACCATGATAGAAGTATTTAGTCTTTGTTTTACGACACATGCGATACGGTATCGGTCCAAGAATTCTTTCCATCATAGCCAAGTGTTCCCGATTATCGTGCGTCTGAAAGGTAAAGCGAAATTATATGATTCCGTACCATTAGTCACCTTCTGTGCTCGTGTGCGTCTTCTCCATTTTGCGTTTAAAGCTCAGCTAATATTACAAACTTTGGATTGCTGGCGCTGACCCTTTGAAGCCCGTTCTTATTTCACTATCTTTGCCCATCTTCGCTAATCGAAAAATAGACCAGTTTAACTTGCCGCCAGAGTTTAGCAAATCGCAAAATAAACAGAGACGGGGCTCGGTAGGGGTAAATGGACGAAAACCTTGCCTGTTATCCCTTCTGTTCATAAATAAAACGTGTTATTGCTGCGGTTACATCTAAAGTAAATTTTATTTAGTTCAGCCAACACCCACCTGGAAAAGGGTTATTCCAAGGTAGAGCTCGAAAAGGATACATCCAATTGACCAGACGTCGCATGTGCAGTTCCAGCCGAGCTCGAGGATAACCTCTGGGGCGCGATAGTGTCTCGTTGATACAACTGTTGAGTGATGCTCGTGGTCGAATGTTGCTGAACCAAAATCGATCAGCTTGATTCGGGTGTCACGAACACGGCGGATTTCGCGTTTCTGTAACCAAATCAATGCAGTTGTACAAATTTAAGTCTTAAATCATGACAGCTAAGGAGACCACATTTTAATGTACGTTCATATCCTTTGTTGTTTGCATATTGGGGCCAACGCTCGGATGTTCTTAACATTGGTGCCAGACCTAATCTCTTCATTGATAGCTTGTTTAGTAGAATCGATGGCAGAATACACGATTCAGGCCATGATTGAAACGTGGATATAAGGCAATCGGTTGTTATCGACGAACCACACTGTCGACTGCTGCGCCACATGTCTGTCTATAAAGCTTTTCGGAATTCGACATATGTGCTATATCATTTTCCTTACGGGGAATATTTCGAAAAACAGATACGAATGTTCACTGCGTTGGCTTGCGTCTGAATTTATTCGGCACTGGCACCGAAATAGCTTTCTTTATTGTTCGATATCAGTCTCTTGCCTGATCCTTTGATCGTGGGCGATACACATTGACCCATATTCCGTGGGCAGCGAGGGCGTGTTCTAGGCAGGCCTTTTGGTGATAACGGCTGTGCAACATCTCTAGAGTGTATTATACGTGTCTCCATACTCTGCAGATTGAGTTCGTAGGAAATATTTTTTTCATCTCCAATATTTTCATATTTAAATATAGTTTCATAGGAACTCCCTAGTAAGCTGACAGGGAGTGCGTTGTCTGTGCTCTATTTTACTCGAAAGTGTTCGTAACTAGGGCCATTTGCTTTACCGCTTCTGACGCTAAGCTGCGATCATATCTCTAGTGGATCTTCAACGCTATACGGTGTATGCAATCGTAAGCTCATTATTATTCAATCGTACTCAATTGATTCACTCATTAACATTCACTAGATGTTATACCTGCCAAATCGCAAATAATATAAACGCTATCAAAATTTTTCGACCCGCTAGATGGCTAGATATACATATAGTGTCGTGTAAACCAGGGTAAACGTTGGTGGGCTGTTTTTCACAGCGGGCATGAATTCATCCACAATCTTTGCTACCGAAAGAAGACTAGTTCTTTAAAAAAAACAAGACCACAAACTCGCCATGGCCCATTTAAAGTGGTCCGTAAAAGAAGTTCCACGCGCATCTTCAAGAGCAGCCATAATATTTCTTTGACTCATGACTTTTGGCCGATTTAGCACTTCTATGTGTCATATTCTTTAATCGGTTTTTTAGGGGTGGTCAAATTTTTCTTATTTCGGTCATATTGTTTATGTGGGTACATTGATAGGTTTGTCCGACGACCATTAGACATTCATGAACGCCTTATCCCAAATGGTTAGTTATTTTCCAACTCGCAAAAACAGGAACAAAATTGGCGACGTGGAAGCTGGTAGACAGGTCAGGCAAAGTAGGAAAACTGGGCAAATATACTCGAGTATCGCGATTATAGCAACTTTGTAATAAGGCAGAAGAAATAATTGCACCAAAGTAAACATTCATTTCAGAAAGCACAAGGCCAATAGAATGACTATGTCAAGGTAACAGGTTATGGCGCGACATAAGAAATCAGCTAATTCACTGGAAAACTATAGGTAAATGTGGGCGAAAAATTGCAGCGGGATAACAGAAATGATAATCAGGTCCTTGCAGAAACTGTAATTGGGTCTCTGTAGAAGCATCGGTCGGTAATCGAGCAGTAACCTTGTGATATTAGGTAGGACACGAATCAAAAATGAGAACTAGCTGATAAGAGAACTGCAGCACTACTGCAGTAATATTGAGATAATCTAATTGGAATAAGTCAAGATACGTGGAACAGGGTAGCCGCAATGGAATAAATTATGCTAATAGATTTACTGAGTCAGGAAAATAAAATTTCTATAACGGGGTTAGTTGCAACAGGGTCTCAAGAAAGCTGCAATCGACCAACGTTAAAGTTGTAGATCTATAAGGACATGTAACAGATATTCATACTGATTTACGTTCATATTTGAGCGCTATAATAACTGAAAAGATAAAGCATTAGATGGAACAAAAAATCTACAACGAAATAACTCTTAGCGCATGCCCAAGTTAGCCTGTGTTAGCCCAAGCGCAACACCAACTGATGGGATTATTGGGGAATTATGGGACGGAAGACGTGCAAAACGAAGCACGCGGACCCATCTACTGTACTGCTAAAGCTCGCTATGCGTTTATGCTTGTGACTCTCAACGCCAGCTCAGGACCTGGTGCTATTCCTCTGCATGAGAGTCGGCGCTTTAACTATGCAGGATCGTGCGTTCCAATTGAAAAAACTTTGGCGGTTTGCTTGCCGCTACGGGCATGCGTTCATACGCTACTTCCGGTACCGGAGAAAAGCCAGTTGCTTTTAGGCGAGAGTAGTAAATTCACTATTGCAAAAAACGGTCTGTCGTTTTCGGAATGTGAGCGAAGATCAACTATTATTCTATCGTTGGGCAAAACAAGCTTCCATCAAGAATGTTCGAAATTGACACCACTTGATTTCCAGTTTCTATGCGGGTTTTAAAAAATTGACGAATCTTCATAAGACAGACCAGAAAATTCATCAAAATGCACCTCGGTTTTTTTTTTTCTTAATTATATTATGTTACTTTAATTTTTAATTTAAATTTTAGAAAATAATCTTTAAAATATAGGGTTGTTTATAAAATATAGGGTCGTTCAGATAAATTTAAACAGTTAGTATTTGTTAGACCCTCTTGTATTTATTGAGCTTTTGGGCTTGTTATCAAGCCAGTATTTGATTTCATTGGCATTTTTCGTATGTGGCGTATTTGAACGGAACGTTAACCGCTTGAAAGCTTTTGCGAGTTGAAAAAAAAAAGGCTATTTTGAAAACGACTAGAGAGTAGCTTAAGTCTCGGCTTGATCGGACGGTTGTTTTGAATACACGTGACCATCAGGCATGACACGTCTAGCGCGTTAAAAAATTGTTTTGAGTTCTTTTCTTAGGCATAATTTAAGAGATGCATCGTTCTCAATTTAGGCGTGCCACACCTTCCGTGCATGTGGTGTCTGTGAATACAAGCCGCTTCAAAACAAGTATTGTTTTACTACAATGCACACAGATTGGAGAACGTCGCCGGGGAAAGCACGTTGGCACACGACATTCAAGCTCATAGATCCTTACAAGCGATCTAGTCAGCTGCAGACGCGAGGCCAGCGAGTTGTGTCCGCGTATTACTAACATTCAAAATATTTGACGTACGATAAAAAAAAAACACGAAATTATACAGTCTTTCCTGGTCAAATGATTTGTCTGGGCAGATAAAGTCACGTTTTATCATGTTTGTTTTTTTTTTTGGATGAAACCGCTTTAGTAGTTTACTAAAAGCGTCATTAGCAAAACATGTGTGCGTACCTTGTGCTTAGTCTTGTTAGAGCTCGGTACCTGTTGCAGCTTTTCTATAAGCCAAAAAGTGCTGGAAAGAGACTTATACGGGGCAGCCGTTATCGACTTGTAGCTGCTGTGGGCAGAGTCTGTCGAATTGCTTGGCCATCTCTGACGTAACTTGCAAGTTTATTATTTAACTGAGAGCCATATGTATTAATCAAAGTGTGTGCCGATTGTCCGCTAGTAGGCACGAATCGTTTTCTCTAATGTACGGAATTAAGCCCAGTTGCACGACTTGAGCATACCCTAAGTATTATATAAACAATGGACATAATTACTCCTCAGCACGTAAAAGGAAGTTGTCCACATAAGGGCGGGCGGAAGAACATTAAGCTAGCGATCATACTGTGCTGCAATTCCTATAACAATTTTTTAAAAAAATCGATTCTGTAACTCTTTCAAGGTCATACAAATCGTGCTTTCTACATCGTCCGCTCTCATTGAATAGGTGCGAACTAACTATGAAGCGATGAAAAACCGACCCGAAAACCAGGTTAATATTCCCACGTAAAATTCTAGCCGCCTTCAGCTGGACGCGGAATAACACTAGCATTAGTAGTTTCGAAAGATGTTTTTGTCACCAGGTAAATGTACTAGCTAGCTACATCTACAAGGGTAGTAAGAGGGGTGTTGAGAGGCACACTGTCAATATCTGGGCTGCTATTTTGCTCACTGAATGTACAACACGCGGGGATGCATCGACAGTTTAATGACGTTAGAAATTCGTATCAAGCTTTAATGCATTATCTCCAGAATTTTATAAGAGCACATCCAGAGGTTGCTTGGACACAAAACAGCAAATACGGAATTTTAATGGATTTACTTTATTCTTTACTAGCAGCTCGGTCTTCTATGAAGTGAGATGACGCCCATTTCAACGAGCGCTTATGCCAAATGTTCTTCTAGACTCAGAACGATTTTTTATATTGACAACGAGCTCAATTATACTTCTGGTGTATATATGAAAACGAACAAGGTTTCGCCAGAGTTTGCCCTCTTCGAGAATGCACATCGGTGCTGCTAAAGCAATATGGATACGATGGTTGGGATGCAGCGTCGTAGACAAACATGGCCGTAGTTCTACATATTTCATTACGAAGGCATCAATCGTGGAATATTTGTGGTGCGCCAGCCAATCGTTACGATGAACGAAACAGTAAAAGAGAATCGGCTCCGAAGAGGAGCAGGAATGTGGTCCTTTAGTTTTTCTAACACTTCAAAGATAAAGCATTTCGCTGACAGCCAGCTTTGAAGACAATATGCATAGGAAGATGAGAGTTGTTTTAGCGGTGGTCGCTCGCTGCGAGTGCCACAACGACATTCAGCGTAGCATCGCACAAACTTAGCCACCAAAGACCGCCATTACAGCGGTCAGGCTGTATTTCGTCCCGTTTATGCTCCGCATTATCAACCTCATAAACAAGGGGTCCGCTCTGCTGAAGTGTCCCCGTTACTAACTCTCATATATTATAAAACAATGGACTATATAATCGAACTGGAAACAAGTGCAACGGTATATATATGTAGCGCAATAGTAATACTATTTAAATATAGAATTGACAGTTGTGACGATCCTGTGCATTACGTATATGAGCAGCACTCTGGGAAAGTTGATTGTTTTCTAATACGGGGCGCAACGGGTGTTATCGCCAGCACTGAGGCTCTGTGTTAATTGTTTAAATCTGAACCAGCTTTTTTCGTTCGAAAGAAGCGAAAAGAACACGATACAAAGTACGATCCCGAGCCCAAGTAGTTGCCGTAATTCATTTGAATTAAAAGAAGCTGCGTATTTGTTTAAAAATCACACGCATACATAAGTAGTAATGGATCAGAATGCGTACAGGAATAAGTGAAAGCGACAAAAGGAGAAATTTAAATCTAGTTAATAACAGTATAGAGCCTTTACCATAAGGGACAGCATGTCAAGTATTTTTACTAACGCAATCGACAGCATCAATGCGACAGCTGCCTTAGCGTCGTTCGTGACTGACTACCTAGTTATCTTGGGTCAAGAGACTGGCGTCCAGCTAAACAAAACAAGCTATTGAGAGGTCAAGGGGGACCCAGATTGAAAACTTCCGATGACCGAACCACTGCTTTACTCTTCAGCTATTGATGAGCGACCTGTGAAATACCAAATCTCATACTATCAGGCCGCAGATCAGATCGAGCGCAAGAGAGCGATCCTTCGCAACGATATACAACTACGCACACAGAGAGAACTAGCTAGCTCTCTCTCTTTCACTAACAGTATGTTGTAACGTTGTTCTTTCTTTCAGTACTAAAGTTAAAAAAAAAAAAAAGTACTTTCTAAGAGAGAAATTGGCGTTTAGCAGCTTAGCAACCACGCTTACTATGCTAGCAGAGGCGGTGTAGCGTGAGTGCCAGCGCGGAGATGGAACTGCAAGTACCCAAATAAGATAAATATTCTAACATCTAGGACCAACTAAAAAAAACTGGAGTTATTCGAAAGGCTCCACATAAATTGGTTACCGTTATTTTAACGAATAAGCAATACGTCCTTCTAACAAGCAATTGAGATAACTCAGTAGATTACGACATATCAATGAGGTGAGTTATTTACGTTTTACGGCATACCATCTTGGATTTGGGGCCGATAAAATATAGAATATTGGTTACGTTTACCAGCTTGAGTATACAAAGTGGAAGTTCGCATATCACAGTTTGAAAAAATATGATCAGCTTCCTCTTTATTTGTTTAGAACTTCTGCCCATGCGCAACAATGAGAATCAACTTAGACCGCACTGCTCGATCCTTATTATAAATAGTTTATATCTCAATTTATAGTATCTTAGGAGTCGTTCGTTCACTTCGTATGAAATAATTACCCTTGTTTTCGATAGTACGTCAAATTCTACTATGGAAGGGTGTTTTTGCAAACTGTGATTTTTTTGAAAAATTTTTTGATAATTATTAGGCCAGACGAATTAACCGGTATATAGCTTGATTATAATATTGAATATTTATTGTTGGACGGAATGCCTCTACTTGCGTGATAGCGGATTTTAAGGCAATACAGTATAACAGCTTATTTTCGGCGGATAGCTATAATGAGAAATCAGGCCCAAGTGGTTATCCTTCCCTTTCTCGGCCAGTCTCTATCTGAACGTAGGTTAAAGCTGACTTTTCGTACAGTTGACTGTTTTACTACACCTATTTTCTGATTCCACTGAACTATTATTCTTCCAATCATTCTACGTTAAAGCTTGTTACTGTCACTCGATTGCAGTAATTCCCCTACTGCTAAACCGATACCCTACCAGAGGTGCCCCGTTTCTTCTCCAGTTATTTTTGTCGGGATCTCACGATGAAATTGGTCCTAATTTTTAAAATTCTATATGAGTATTAGGCCGGCCGAGAGAGCAAAAATATGAAAACCTCGATATTTTTAGGATATCAAAAATGTTTTCTAAATAAATCTTATATTCGATTCTACTATGGAAAAAGTTGAAATTCAAGGAAGAAAAGTTAAGCCAATGTGTGCTTATTTTGTAGGGCTAAAAACGCTGAATTATTTTTACATTTGAATTTTTTTGCAAATTGAGAACCATTGTCAAAATAACAATCCCAAAATATTATCCTGTGCTAGGCCTACACTATAGTATAGAAAAACTGTTTTATATTCTTGTCATGGGATTTCTTTTTCTCAGACATGTCATTCTTATTACAGCAGTCGTTTTCAAGTCACGTTTGTTAGTTCGATTGTTTTGATATTAGTAGTAATGGTATTAGAAAAACAAACTTCACATCATTTAAACCCGGTTCCAAAGATTTTCACCGTGAGCCTGCAATGGCAATTATTACCAGTGGCCGAATCCTTCTCCCTAGAAAAGTACATATGTATATACTGGGGCTATAGGTTGATTCTAGAAGATTTAATATTTACGTAAAATGATGCTGTAAATCCCTGTAGAGTTAAAGACGGCTCATTAACGCCATTTTTCTCTCAAAGGATTACCGTGTCAGCGTAGTAATCCGTCAAGCTAAATGCAAAGTACGTACTTTTAGCCTCTTTTAGCTACAGTTGAAAAGTAGATGTTTCGACGATTTCTTTCTCTTATCATGATGAATCTTACCAGGATACATGAAAACCTGTCCCTAGGCATTTTCCGAACACAAACATTGTCCTAAAGATACCGTTCCGATGAAATTGCTTTCTACTATTTTAAACGGAAATCTAGTTTGGTCAACTAACTGAACAATGTTGTTCTAATGACTCAATTCAATGGCATGGATCAATATGTATATATCAATATCTGTAATAGATAGTGTAAAATCTAGCGTGATATCCACGTTCATATTCCCATTTGTTTCTAAGTTCCTCCATTAAATGCCAGGGTAAGCATTTTAGCGGCCGTTAACTTTCGTTTTAACGTACATGTTTGTTTTGTGACAGCCTTTAGGTAGGTAGGCAGACTATGATCAGTGAAGTTATTTACTAATTTTTTTCGTTGAATATTTCCTGATCTTTGCGTTGCAAAAGGACCCGGCCACCCCCACCTTGGTTGATTCTTTATTTAATGGAACAGCTAGCATCGCCAACGGCACCCGAATACGAGGATTAGTGTCACATATGCTAGATTCTTAAAATAATAATTTCGAAAATTGATCATAAGCTTAATTTTGAATAACAAGTTAAAAAAATAAACGACTTCAATAACAGACGTATTTTTTCAAGGGCTATCTCCTGACGTCAAAATTTACGATACTTAAAAAGCGTTTATTTTATCTCTGCTGTTTCATATGTGACTTGCTATAGAAAATATAAGCCATTAAATTACTGGTAATTAGCGAGTGTCAGTCTAACAATTTTTTCTTTACTCTCTAAGCCCGTTCGCAAAACATTAGCTAGGGCGTTATTAACGGAGGCGCTCAAAAAATGCTTCCTGAAAGAGCGCTGCTTAAAACACCCTCTAACAGTTTTCAGATTAGCTTCTAGTCTAAAGCTTTCTTTTTTAGATAGAAGTCTACTGAATTTTTCAGGTTACTTAGGTATAGCTTCCACAAAACATGATACTGAACATTGTAAGAATAGAAGACATCGACATCAATGCTCTGCTTGTTTATTTGCAATTAATGCATTCTTAGAATAATAAAAGAGCTTTTATCTTACACCCGATGGATACTGTGAAAAAAGCGTGGACTATGTAACCAAACTATCCCCAATATCTTTAAAGTGTAACAATAATAGTGTAGTACCAATACTATATATAAGAAAATTCTCATTTTTATAAAAGGTGCCGGGGGATAACGACAGGAAAGGATTGTATCTTAGATTGATTTAATCCAAAATTGAATTTTCAAAAGTTAGATTGTGGGAGCTGAATCTTTGCGATGCTAATCTGCTAGCTTCAAACTGGCCAGCTGCCTATAAAGAGTAAAAAACTAATTACAAATGATTGGTCCCCTAGTCGTACACTGAAGCATATTTATGTATATATTGCATTCTGAGAGCAGGATCAGTCAAAGATAAACGAAAGTTCAGTTTCACCTTTTTTGTGTTGCTGTAGGAAACATCATATTCGGAATTGAGAAACAGTATATTTTCTGGCTTCAGATCCGTATGAGTCAGTTTCATCTGATGTAGATCTGGAATTAACAACAATCAGAACGTTCTAAATTAGGTAAACAAGCTAATAATATTAACGTGACCAACTATCCTCCTCGACGGTTTACCTAATTATATTTTTTATGATGGCTAGAATCCCTCAGCACCAATACCCACGCAGTAACCCACCTGCTTTGTAGCATATTGGGGAACCTAGTTGTATTGTGAACTGGGCTGGAAAACTAATGTTGCCGTGTTGTTTAGACGTAACGTCGCAGGGATTCAAAGAATTTTAAGGTTAGTGAAACCCAGCTGAAGTTAGAACCCGAGGCATGATTCTTGTGAATCAATTGGCCTATTCCAAAAGAGTAGCAGGCAAAACCTGTGGCGATGTTAAAGTGAACACGTCGAGCAATTATTTCATTTTGGATCTTCCATGAGTACTCTCCCAATCGTTCCGCCTTTCATCAAAAGGGAATAAGCTTTCTTAACCCACAATCTTTCTGTACAAGCAAAAGGCTATTAAGGTAACGGGATCATTTTCGCTCAAACTGCGTCTTGTGTTTGTGTGTAACTAGATGGAAATAAAACCAAATTGATATTGCGAGTATCAGCCCCAAATGCTTATAATAGTAAATTCAAAGCAATGGATGAATGGGTCTGTAGTTAACAACCGAAAAGAATTGTTTCGTGTTTTGACGTACATGCTACCCATTTTTAGCGTGAACACCAACTCTGCTGTCAAAATGCTATGTTGCCTATGTCGTCTCATGGAAAATCGGTTCTGTACTACTCCAGTGTGACTTCATATGAAGATGCACGAAAACTATACTTTATAAACTAGATTTTTCAGTTATTGTAAGTCGGCAATTTATCGGAATAGCTAATGCCAAAATTTAGATCCAGCTTCTAGAACATGTTTATTTTTCGAACGTCAATACTTATAAAATTTGATGCTCGAAATTAGATTCATTGCCTCAACTCCGGGCTTTTACCTCATGTGATGCACTACGACAAGAAGATGTTAGAACTGAATCTCTTGTGATGGGCACGAATTAACCGAATTACTGTGTTTGTCCTCATAAACGGTTTACTACTCGTGGTTTACGGAACAAATTCGCAATGGTGAAACGTGGTTGTGTAACAAGCAGACATTTCAATCCACTTAAAACCGTTTAGGGAAGAAGGATCATTTCAATCAATCAACAACGATTTTTATGTACCACCCGTATGGTACGTTCGGCATAAATCCGAGAAGACCAAGTGGCTGTCTTTTGTATCTAAATAAAAATTATTTGAATGAAATGTGGATGAAACCGTTGCCTGGGTCGCCATCACATCTGTGGCGGATCTGTTTACTTGATGTGCTTGCATCTAGGTACGCATAGTGCTTAAATTCAAGGCTTACAAAAGTTTCATCTCCTGATCCACGAATAACTTTTCTAACGAACTAACAAAGTAGATGAAACAATGTAGAGCAATAACACTGGTACGTCAAGGCTCGTTAGGGTCTCGCCAAAATGTTCGCTAACGGCAGACCAACGATCCTAACAAAGCAAATGGTCAGGCGAATGCAATATGGCGCGAGAATTCGAACATAATTGTGACCCGCATGAACGACACATAATGGATAAAATAACCACATCCCGAAAACAGCCTCCAGTTTCTTTGAAATAGCGAAATGGTTTTTTGGTGCTCTCTTTGACTTTTTCAATCTAACCTCCTATTGTGAACCTTCTATCCTGGATACAGATGTTTTCTTCAGAATCTTTAGGAGATGTGGGGGACAGGGGAGCGATTTGAGCAGCCAGCGAACGTTGCTTTGAAATTCTCAAAACACATTAATTTTTTTTGGATGTAGTTAAGTGGATCGGATCAGAAATTTTGCGTAATTCAAATTTTTGAATCTTTTCTCTGCAATAAGATCCTAAAAAGTTGTGCTGTATAGAAAAGCTATGTATTTTTTTCGCATTTTATCAAGACCTAATAACAATACAAAAGTGAAGTAGCGGCCTCGTTTTTCAACTACAATTTCAGCTGTCTCAATGCTACATTTTCAACTCTAAATTGAAAGCAACTTACACTTGATAAATGTCGTTACTTCAACGTTACATTTTCACCCTGAGGGCTATATATTTGCCAAGGAGAGGTGAAGCTATATAGGCTAGTATGATTTCCAGCTTATAGGAAACGAAATAAAAACATCAAGTTTCCTTTGAATAATGTCGTTGATTTGCTTTATCTTGCTAATTAGAGGTAAATTGTTAGCACTAAATAGTGACTTGAAATATTCAATATAAGAAAGGTTAAAATATTATGTTTTTTTAAAATTCTGCACGCGTGCTTGCCGCTTTAAGACCATTCGGCCGATTTATATAACAGTGAAACAACCATGCGTTATGAGGCATCATCGAGAACGCGCAATTTTACCAGCAAATCTATCAAATGTCTAAGTGCTATGTCCCTTTAACATCGTTACGGTCTTTCATGTTATACATCATACAACAATTTAAACTAACCTGTTCCGGTACCTTTTATCGTCACTTGTTGTGAAGAAACGATCGAGATCACATTCCTTGCCTAGTTTCGTAGAGGGGTTAACTACTAGTGGACTCGAAATCTTGATATTATGTGTACGCAAAAAAGAAAGCTGATAGAGACAGAATGCAAGCTATGACTGCGCAGGAAGCAGTGGCAACTATTATAGATAGAGTCCTTTCCGTTAGGAAGAGAGCTCGCGAATTTGGGATGGGCAATTTCAGTTTAAGGCTATGGAAAAAGCTGCAAACGAGCTCTCTTTACCTTGTTCACGTCGTACGTTTGACGCATGTCAGTAGGCTATATTAGCGGCGCACTTTGCCCAATGCACAAGAATCATTCGAGCTTGTACCATAGTCAAGCCAAAAGAGGCTAATTTCGGACAAATTTACCCAGTGACTAAACGTAGAGCAGTCGGCATCATGATCTGAAGGGCTGCAGGGAAAATTGAATAATGGTTTTCCTATCGCTACACGATCAGTCTTCGTTGGGGCAAGCCGAACAGAAGTCCTTTGGCACGGATAATGGACTCTAATAAGGAAGCGGTCAAAGTTTTCGCTAGAAACATGCAAATCTTAATGGAGTCGTACAACTTTACCCTTTTAAATATTTTTAGTCAAGATGATTTCCTGCGGTAATAAACCCTTCAAAAGTAGCTGCGCCTGAAGGAACGAAACTACTTTTTAAATTGACATCACTGTATCGTGTCAGAATGCTCGTTGTCCTGCTTTCCCGCAAGCTCGAGTCGTGTTTGGTGTTTCTTCGAATGCAAACTCGTCCAAGTGGTTGCAAAGGGAATGTTTTAAGGCTGTGTTGAGCGTTTTGTCGTGATTTGTTGTCTCGTAAACAAACCATGTCTGCTAATCGTAGATGAGCATGAGACGCGAACAGGTCTAAACGCGGTCAAACTAGCTTTAGTGAATGGCGTTGACATTGTTACACGTTCTCCACAGCACCTAGACAAGCTATAGCTTTTAGACGGGGCTCTCTGTACTCTGCGCTCTGTACAGCGCAACAGCACCTTGTCACTGGCTGCGAAGGATCAAAGGATCACAATATTTGACACAGCCATTAATCATTCCTTATGGCTCCAAAATCTTTTTTTTTTAATTTTTAAAAATGAATGTGCTGTTTAGTTGTATATGAATATCTGTTCTCTTAGAAAAACAATCCTATATTTTGGAAATCTTGTCAGGAAAAGGTCAGAAGCGCGATACTTGACCGCTTGCATAACTTTAATTGACATCTTTGAACGGGATCATTAGTGGTTCATATAGCCCCACCAGGTGGCACAATATAAGCAAGCGACATATTTATTAACTGGTAATTTCTCGAAAATCAGTGATTTAGTACTTCTACATTTTAGGCTACAAAATAAAGAAGTTCTTAACTGTAACATTTAGAAAATTTAAGTCCATAAAGCTACACTTGCTCCTATTTGGGACTGATAACGGCATCGGTGTCCGGTGTTATCGAGGTAATAATTTAAGTAGGACTTTGTTCGGTACAAAAACAGCCGACCATAATTAATCCTCTCTCATATTTCAAAAACTAACCGTTTGGTTTGCCTATAGTACGCCTGCATCGCTTAATGAAGACCTAGTTTTTCTCTACTATCACGACAGAAGAATGAACGCTACACGTTGCGGTAAAACAGCCCACCAATATAAGTCCCGATTACTCCTAAATACAAACATATATATATATATATATACATAAATGCAACTTCGTCTTGTAAATAAGGCGGAGCAAATATGAGGAGTGGCTTAACCTACAAAATACTCAGTTCAAACCAGACGAAACAAGGCAATAATGCTCTGGTTGATAAGTCATACATTTATACTTAGAATATATAATGGACCTGCGAGATCCTAAAATAGAACTCTCTTCTAAAATTACGCCATTACCGCAGCAACTCTACTTTGTGCGCAGGTTGAGCTTATGCTGATATGAAAGCACAAGCATGCTTCGAAGAAAAAGGAAAAATAGGATATTGTATACATATGTTCCCGAACCCCTAACGATATCTGCATCTAATAGACTGCTGTTATTCTTCTAGGAACCCAAGTAGGCCCTGCACGGTTTGAAACATTGAATCCTAAACTGTATTATAATATTATATTAAGCAGGATGGATATCAGCTTCCCCAAATCATTGTCACCTGACGGTACTGCTTTTAATAACGTCATTGTACTTAAAATATATCGATTAGCCTTGCGAACTTTGCCGGTAGACTGTGTAGTTTGCCCCGCGCCACCTCTTTGTGAGTAATGCAGGATGGATAAATAAGAAAATCGAGTGCACCCCGCCCATTCGGCCATTTGAAGTCGCTGAGGATCGACTAAAGGCACTTTTAAACGCTGATGACACCTAAGAAATACAATATTAATCATGAAAGCATGAAAATAAACTGGGCACTTTAGACTTATGATATTTATTCAAAACCAGAAGCTTTGGTGATCTGTGAAACTTATTGTCTCTGAATATCTCGCCCGTCACCGAG